GCAGCAATGGCAACTCAATGTCTACGCGATAATTATATTCATTGATAAAGTATACTGGAGTATGCGGATTGTGACTTTGAGCAAATACGCCCTCATGCAGCAGCTTGTATAGGGCCGTTCGATACTCTCTTTAGTATTATATACTCTTGCTATTATTATTATTTATTTTCTTTCTCATTCTTTGTATCCATCTTTACCTTAACCTATCTTTAACCTTGCTTTCTTTTTTCTTTTCTTTTCCTTAACCTACATGTTTATTTCTACCCTTTTTTATAATAAATTTTTTGAGGGCTTTGTTCCCTTTTCAAATGGGCTATAGCCTTGGGTATTTTTCAAAATTTGCTAGTTTTTAGAAATTGCTCATAACTTCAGAATTTGAGCTCGGAATCGGCTCAAACTTTCTATGTAACATAAGGACATCAATATGTATCAGAAAATGTAATAAAAAATTTGGGGTGATTTTGAAGCCATTTTTTGTAAAAAGCCATGGGCTATAGCCTTTGCTTTTTTCCAAAAATCGCTACTTTTAAAAATGGCCATAACTAGAAAAATAGTTGAAAACAGCTCGAACTTTCTACACATGATAAAGACAGTACTATGTATCAGAAAATGTAATAAAAGATAATTTTAGAGTTAGATTCTATTGTTAAGGAGCACTACTGTATAGCTAGAAATTTCTGTGGCCCAAAATTTCTGCGAATTGGCAAAAAATGGCTTTTGCGGATTTTATTTTTGCGAATTCCCTTGATCACACTACTGATCAATGGCTGCTCTTTACTACTTACCAGAACTATAGTTGATCATGACACAAAGCTCTATCAGGATATTAGGCAAGATAGGATTACTCTTTGACTCTGCTTAAAATTGTACTGGAATAGTGCCAAGAACATGCCATGTGCTTCACTATAATTACATTATTACACTGAGAAAAGGCGTAGTGAACCACACCTTTTAATTTACCTATTTTTGAGGATTTAATTTTTACGATTTTGTTCAAATTCACAAAATTCGCAAAAATTTTGGGCCACAGAAATTTCTAGCTATACGGTATTTTTTCACTAGTGCCTCCCATAAACATACAAATACCTCAGCACTGTTGGAGTGAGCACATTCTTTTATGGTATCCAGGAGTGTAGTCCAAGCTCTATCAAACCCATCAATGGAGGATAATGATAGCAAACGAGACTGTATAACCCTTGATATACCATTTAACACTAACACCTAAATAAATAAATAATGAAGTTTAATTTTTAAAATATCACAAAATGTAATTTACTTGAGTTTCTGCCCATTGCTTTTGATCGGTATCTCTCGTGTGATGAATCATTAACTTGGTTTCTGTAGACAAAGACATTGTGCTAGCAGACAACACTGACTGTTGGACTTTCTCTAGCACAATAAATAAAACCGACCAAAGAACAGCCTGCCATGTGTTCCACTGCAATATGGTACCGTGAACACTCAGTGTTGAGAATAACGTCTGAGCAGCACTCTTCCTTATGGCAGACTGGTCATTAACAATGAGATTAGAGAGACATTGAAAGAGTAACATCCAAATCCCATCAAACACATCCAGTGAACTATACTGGAGTAATAATCTATCGCTCCTTTTCACTGAAGGGACTTCAATGGATGACAATAGCGGCTTTAATGTCTCGCGATTCTGATGCAAATAATCAGCAATATTCCACTATACAATAATAATAATAATAATAATAATAATAATAATAATAATAATAATAGTAATAATAACAATAATAGTAATAATAATTGTTAAAACTAACCAGTTGCCCAATGGATGTTAATGATATATTAATATCCTGGCATTGTTGCCCGTATTGGCCAACACTGTCCACACAAACTGGCAGGCACACAGGAGGCAGTAATTGCAAATAATCCGTAACTATCAACTGGAGAGACTGAAAACCTGTTCTCACCAAAGACTCACTAGACAAAAATAATAATAATAATAAATGTATTTTTTTTTTAAATAAATAAATAAATTAATGATAAACGTGTGCATGTACATGTACATGCATACAAAAGCAATAAAACAATTAAATAAACATACATGAATTATTAATAAATAAAATTTAAATAACAAAGGTGATAAAATTAATAATTACCTTGGTAGTTTCGATGCGTTATTGATAATATTCAAGACGATCATCCACGAGTCTTCATTCATCAATTGGTTATTGTGGAGTAGCTGCTCAATGCACTCAAACTGCTTCAATATGACATCAGACTGAGAGACTTGAGAGAGGGAGAGTAGTGGGGCCAGTATTGTCGACTGGAGCGCTACGTCGGACTCAAAGTGTATCAAACCTTTTTTAATCAAGTTAATTAATGCATCGACTGACTCGATTCTAACACTGACATCTGAACAATTGCACAACTAAATGAAGTGAGAAACAATGTGATTAGACAGTAGACACGAGTGCATGCAATCGATGAAATACTCTGTACTATAGTACAGGGTCTTTGACCGGATTTTCGAGCAACTTTTAAAATTCATTAAAAATCCAATTTTGATTGGAATCAGCTCAAACTTTCTACACAACATAAGTACATGTATATGTATCAGGAAAATTATAAAAATAAAGAATTCTCTCCTTTGCAATTTTAGCAAAATTTGACCCGAGACCATGTTAGCCAGATTATTTGAGCAACTTTATAAATTCATAAATAATTCAATTTTGATCAGAATCTGCTCAAACTTTTTACGCAACATAAGAACATGTACATTGTATGTATGTATCAAATAAATTGCAAAAATTGAGAATTTAGGATGATGGTTACTTGTGTCAAATGAGTGCTGATCTGTTTCCATATTATTGTTATTCTATTGATATTACTAACACCAACTTCATGCAAACAATAAATGGGGAATAGACCAATATCCTAAATAAAAAAATAAATAAACACACAATAATAATAATAATAATAACAATAATAATTACTTTATTTTGAATAGAATCATCAGATAAAATACACAAAGAGCTAATTAATGAAAGTAAACTGGACTCAGACAAAAATCTAAAAAAAACAAAACAATTATAAAACGAAACAACAACAACAACAACAATAGATTACTTGCTGTTGGTAAATAAATCATCAAATTTAGCAATAATCTCCAATCTCTTATCACCAACCTGATTCAATCACAATCATTAATAATCAATTAATATATTCTTAATACCGTGTTCGTGCTTTCTGCTAATTTTTTGATTCCAGACTTAACTCCAAGTGCAATCCTAATATACTATAAATTAAAAAACAACAACAATCATTATTTTGATATAAATCATAATCAGTATGTATGGAGAGAACATCAATACACCATTTATTAACTTATGTAAATAATATAATAATAATTACATGTACTACATGTTATACATGTACATGTATTTTACTTGTAAAGTGGTTAAAATGATGTTCCAGGATTCAGAGAGTATGTCCCCATGCTGATGGACCAAGTGCAGGAGTGTGAGGATACACTCAAAGTTCTTTCCAGTGCACTTCCATTGATCCTGCATTGCCTCAATACCGTCACTCGCCTTCTTCTTGCTCACCATTGAGGACTGTGAGCTCCTACCTGTCTGGGTCTGCCCGATCAACTGCATTGAGTATTTAGGAGGCAGAGAACCTTTACACAGCACTAGAGAAATATATATAAATAAATTAGCAATAAATTAAAAATATTAAAAATAGAAAAGGAGTAGGACTCAAACAAGAGGGAACTTGCAAACTGGTGCGGTATAAGCAATCTTATAACATTGAATGAAAGGTTTGCATGAAAAATAAAAGGCTTCATTCATGGCTTTATAGATGTAGCAGTCTGTCACTGCGTGTGGATAACTATAATGCTTTATCCTCCCTCATGCAATGGTGTAGGATTTCTTTCCAAATCCATAATATATCATTATTAATTGTCATTATTACCTGTTAAAAATGCAGCACAAGGGGACGATAGTTTCATAGTTCCGCATAATTCGATAAATATTCTAAAAACTTCAAGTATCTTCTTAATAGTGTACTCATCCACACTAATAACAATAATAATAATAATAATAATAATAATAATAATAATAATAATAATAATAGTAATGATAAATATAGAAATTAATATTGATGCACCACTTACACAGTGTCCAGTAATAAAGACAGAGATGCTAAAACGGCCGACCAGGAGGAATTCAATAAATTTATAGAGATATCGTTTGGAGAGAAATTTCCTAATAAGGAAGAAGTGAAGGTCTTGGCTGAGGCAGGGGGAGACCCTTGCTGGTGTATTATTAATGAGAGGCTTCTGATGAGATCCATGAGTACATTAACTGAGAGGATTAGACCATAGCCTTCGGGAATGTTAGGTATCTCCACTTTATCTAACATCTCAAGTCTAATAGATCAAATATGACAGGGTTACTTTAAAGTTATCAAATTTCCAATAGCATTATGCATTAAATGTAGTTATTGCTTCATTAAACCATCAAATGAAAACAGCACTGTCAATATAAGCAAGAATTATATGATTTCTACAACTATAAAATACAATGCAATACAACCTTACGTGTATGTGTTAATTATTAAATTGTCAATATCAATAAAATAGATGGACAAGTTATGATTTATACATTTCAGTTATTCTCCTATTGAACTGTCAAATGAATTGTTTATGGGGAAAATCATCAATACATGATAAAGCACTTTACAAATTATAAATATTAAACACAGTTCTATATTATTAGAATAGCTTACAGGTGTGGTTTGTTAGGAGCTGATGATGTAAGTTTCTCATAATAAACAATATGAGACTTGTATTGGAAAACATGATAACTATTAATATTAGTGACATCAGCTACTGCTTGAGTATTGGCAGAACTGCTACCACTAGCGCCGATTGTCGGAGCTGATGAAGACATCAACTGGTGGAGATTTGATTGAATGAAAGCAGCAACTCCATCAATAATATCTTTGAATACATTAGTGGAGTGCTCATGCATATCGTAACACTCACAAAACGATCTAAAGAGACAAAGAAAGAAGATACAATACATGCACCATTCATGCATATAATATATTATGTATAAAATTAGTATACATGTATACATGTGCATTTACATTCTATGTACAATATACTTATATTAAATTTATGTACTTTAATAGGAAGCTGTCATTAACAAATAAATGAAGTACTTCGACTGCTAGGACTCTCTGCCAGAGTGGTTTATCAGAGTCAAGAAATCTGACAAGCATTGATAAGAATATTTCACATTGTGTCGTCTAATAAATAAATAAATATTATAAACAATTATTTCTCAATCTGTGTCATCAATAACAATAGTAAAAGGCTTACTAGTATAATAAAATATTCCTTGATCAGAATTCTAAGTATCCTCAATAGCCTTATATGGAGTGCAAATGTCGGTCTGTCTGATTGTAATAAAGAAGATGAAGAGTGAGAGAGAATGTGCCTGTGTTTAGAACTTGGAGAAAACAACTTAATAACTAGCGGGCACACCCTCTCAGTTAATAATACACTGAACAACTTCTCCTATGTATATTGTGATAGTTGTTATTAATATTGTGTATCGATAATGCATGTTACTGACTTTAGCAAATATGGCTGGGTATCCTTTTAGGACGATTTCTAATAATTCCAGTCCAAGTCCCAACTCAATGTTTAATGATTGAGGCAGCCAGGCAGCTGGATCACCGTTTATTAGGAAACACAAGTCCTGATGTGAAAATAAATAAATAAATAAAATAAATTATATCCTTATTATTATTATTACTGTTGTTATTGTTGTTGGACTTTTCAAAATAAATTTAAATTAATAATAAAATAATAAATAAATAATAATGTAAGTACATGTACATGTATGTATAACTAACTTGAAATATTAAGTATCCATCCCTAACTTGAACAGGTAATTGTCTATGATCAACGCTAACAGAGGGGGAGGAGTCAGGGGGAGGAGGCTCTGGACTATTGAGACCACCTAAAAGTATATAAAAAAAAATAATTAAATATAATCAAGATTACAAGATAACTTGTAACAATGATGTTCCTACCTTTCTCGGCCAATTGGCTCAGGCGATCGAATAAATTTTGAACAATCTGTCTAATGGTGACACTGGCAGTATTGTGAATATTAATATCACGATTATTGTACAATTTAAAACAAATTATCAGGACCTACAAAGTCCTTATAAAGATAGTCATGATAATGATAAATGGCTAACCGTTGTTAAGGTCTTCCCTTTGATAAGATCAGTGGCTGTTGATAAAATTAATATTGTCTGTAATATTTTCAATTCTTCTAAATTATTATCGACTAATCGTTCAAGGGTTGAAAGGATACTGTCAACTGACGACTGCAATTAATTAATTAATGTAATGAATATATAATTAGTTAGGTACCGGTGGTATGGCATTGTACTGGAGCAAGCGTTGCAGTGATGACAAAGATATTGAAATTAGTCTTGGATTCTGAGACTCGCAGGCAAATAGTAATGGACGAACCACATCTTCTGTTGCTGAGAGTACTAACAAAAATTAATAAATATAATAATAATATGTAATAATTGCTAATACATGTAGTACCTCTTAAAGAAAAGCCAAATTGCTCTGAAAGATGCTTTAATCTCATTCCTCCTCTTTCTGAAGCCTGAGGGAGATAGGACAATAGGCGACACTGAATGCATTCTAACCTCCTTTACTGACGGATACTTCTTCTTTGCTTCATTTGACAGCAAGTGGAAATCATTTCTCAGATTCTGCGCCAATTGACGAGCTATTTTATCTTTATCATCAAGGACAGCCTTGCCGGACGCCATTTTGTTTTCCGAAAGACCCGCCCAAAATTTTAACCAAAGCCCGCCCACTTGCAGGTTGATTATGACGTCACTAACCCACGTGCTTCCACGTGGAATACAAAATGGCTCGAATCATAAGAAATGTAGGCATGGCAATGTCTGGAGGTGTAGATTCATCAGTAGCCGCTTTGCTATTGAAACAAAAAGGTAGTCTAGTCGTTTGTAAGTACTGTTACTATTGTTTTATAGGATATAATGTTGTAGGATTTTACATGAATAATTGGGACGCACAGGAAGAAAACAGTCAATATTGCAACGTTAATAATGATTTTAATGATGTAAAGTGGGTTTGTCAGCATATCGGGATACAGTACAAACAAGTTAACTTAATACGACATTATTGGAATGAAGTCTTTAGGTGGGTGTCATTATAATTTTTATAAGTATAGGTTATACAGGGATTTATTAACCAGCAAAGCAGCTGTGAGATTAATAAATGGCTTAAATGCCATAGAAATTGATACCAAGGTGTATAACCATCTTCTATAGTACCATGACATTTTGAAAACAACTACCAGCTGCTGATAATAAGACCACAGTTGACATACATGTACATAGAACATATCTAACAGGCTAGCCATGTAAAGAATCAGCCAAGCTTGACAAATGGACTAATAAGAGCTTAAGCATAGAGCGCTTCTAAGTGTTCCCCGGGAGGTTCTAATAGATTTAGAAACCTGGTATTCTGCATTCTGCGGATTGATCAATTTAAATTTGGCATGGTTGAATAATAATTATTGTTATTGTTTATTAGTTATTTTATCGATGGTACTAATAATGGAGTCACACCTAATCCTGATATAATGTGCAATCAAAGAATAAAATTTGGAATTTTTCACAGTTTAATAATCAATAAATATAGAATGGATGCCATCGCAACAGGCCATTATGCTCAATTAAGTACTAACGAGCAAGGTAAATTCTAATTAAATAATTAGTACTTTAATATTAATTATATTTAAAGGTGTTAGGTTAATGAAATCTGCTGATCATTTTAAGGATCAAACTTATTTCTTATCAACAGTATCTCAATCATCATTACTTAATACACTGTTTCCAATTGGTCATTTGACAAAGAAAGAAGTCAAAGAAATTGCTATTGAAAATGGACTGCATAGGATTGCAAAGAAGAAAGAAGTTGTTGCTTAGAATCAGCTAATCTAATGCTAGTTCAATTCTTTATCTTTAGAGTATGGGCTTGTGTTTCATTGGGAAAAGAAATAATTCAAATTTTATGAGAGAGGTTAGTATCATTGTGAAGGAATATAAGTGCATTATTTTGTATGATAATTCCAGTATATTGATGGTGAAGAAGGGCTCATGATTAACATTTTGACTGGTGAAATAATGGGAAAACACAATGGTAAGAACTATATCCATTTACTTGTTACAATTATGAATGATAATATAGGACACCAATATTACACTATTGGTCAAAGATCAGGTTTAGGAGATGGAAATGGACCACTGTTTGTAATTAATAAAGATATAAATAATAATACTCTATTTATTGTAAGTGCTCACTAGATATAGCTGGTATATTATTCATTATTGCTGTAGGGCCCAAGTCATTTATTATACTCCCGTGAAATAGTAACAAGCAAGCCATATTGGATAAGAAATATTACTAGTAAAGTACTACAGGCAAGAATAAGGCATCAAGGAGAACTTGGTATTAAGATAGTAATTATATTTAGCAAATTTTTATTAATTTATAGTGCAGTGTCGCATTGAGGACTATGAGTATGGTCTAAGAGTGTTTTTATCACAACCGATAAGAGCTGTAACGCCTGGACAATACATTGTGTTTTATAGTGGAGAGGAGTGCCTGGGAGGAGCCTGCATTAAGAATGGTATGTTAATTATATTCATAGTTTATCTTAGAGCACATACTAGGAGTAATGGCCGAGTCAGCTAATGATAGTCATTCTACAGTAAATGAAGGTATAGCAATATATTTGGTGGATCATATTATTGTAATGGATTTATGCTACTAAAATATGATTAGAGAAACAGCATGTATTTGTAATGAGACACGGAGAGAGATTGGACAGTGTAGACTCAACTTGGCTGCTAAATAATAGAGACAGGCCCTACGACACACCATTAACTGGGAAAGGAAAAGTTGAAGCACACCAGTTATCTCTTAAAAGATATTCCGACAAAGTAATACAAATATAGTTATTATTAGGATTTATTCTGTCATTGATTTGCCATTATCATAGAATATCGTGCACGTTGTATCCTCACCTTTTACAAGATGTCTCCAAACTGCACAGGAGGTTTGCCGGGCTACTGGTGTGACAGGTATTGTTACTCGTAATATATTGAGTGAGATTATGACTCGCGGGGCCAACATGATCAAAACACCATCAGTACCCAGTGAGAGTAATATCAGTAATTATGACATCAACGTCATTGAGTTTGATACTAAGCCTCTACCAAAGTATCCAGAGACAATAGATGAATCAATAGCAAGGTATTATCAATCATGATCTCATCTCATTGTTATTATTATTTACTAAATAAATAGATATAAAGCAGCTATACAGGAAATTGCTGATGAGTATTACCCAAATAACGTTGTATTGGTCACTCATCAATATGGAGTAGAAACATCAATGTTACTAGGTATTGTTATTATTATTAATTTATTATTGTTATTATTATTAATTTATTATTGTTATTATTATAAGAATGGATTAAGAAAGGAGAGTGATTTCAATAAAAGAACAAAAATAATAATATTTATATTAGATACAGGTGGCAATAATGCAGTTTATGAAGCTAGTTACTGTGGTAATGTGGAGCTAATAAGAGAAGGAAGAGATGGAGAATGGAAGTATGCTAGCAAAGACCGTGTCTACAAATACGACAATGTTTTTTAATATTAAGACTGAACAACAATTATAATATTGATATTGTTATTATGTTTTTAGATTTCCCATACAAACGTATTTAATATTAATGTATTCATTGATTCCATATTTCGATCCTTCTCTGCCGAATCCGCTTTGCTTCTTGCCGCCAAAAGCTCCCACCTCATTTGAAAGCAGAGCTTCATTGATACCTACCATACCTGTCTCTAGGGCATCACTCACACGCCATATCTGATCAATATCTCTCGAATAGAAATAGCCTAATAATAATAATAATAATAATAACAATAACAATCAGAATAATAATAATAAAATGTATAGTAGGATAGGTTTAGTAGAGTAGGATAGGTTTAGTAGAGTAGGATAGGTTAGTAGAGTAGAGGAAGAGAACAAGAAGTGAAAGGAAAGAAAAGGAAACGACAGAAAGGAGAAGTAATAATAAAATATATACATGTATATATAATAATAATATTTGTTGTATGACAAAGTACCATAACAATAATCATTATTACAAAGCACACTTTCAGTTGCACGTATACTAGTTTTGCTTTTGATGTAGCTAAATATAAAATTTTCATTTATGCTTCGAGTCCCTTTTGCGTGTTAAGTTTTAACTACACAAAAATGACATGATCAGGTTTCCCACAAAACATGCTTTGTGACAAGGACACCACACTATTACTGTACATGGCTTTTGGAACAACTTTAATTCATAAATACCTAATAATTAATTTAGATCGATCGTAATCAGCTCAAACTTTCTACACAACATAGTACGTGTTTATGCATCAGAAAAAATATATTACAATGGAGAATTCTCTCCTAGCCATTTTTGATGAAATTTGGCCAAAAGACCCTGTACTATAGTACATGATATTTTGTCAAATTTTGGAGCAACTTTATAAATTCGGTACAACATATGTATTATTGATATGCATACCAATTAGTCCAAATTGTGTGTTATTAGCTATACTGACAGCTTCATCTTCAGTATCAAACCTACAAACCACACCCACCAACTAACCACATTAACCACACCCACCAATTACTTTATAATCGGTGCGATGGGTCCAAATGTCTCTTCTCTCGTTATTAGCATTTCATTATTAACATTGATCAATACTGATGGATTATAGAACGTCCCAGGAAGCGATGTCATTCTAGTCCCACCTACCAACACCTCCCCTCCTTGATCCACAGCATCATTAACATGACGCTCAACCTAACCGAGCATTAAATAGAAAACTCTCTATACATCTACATACTTTATCAATGGCCCCAGCATTGATGAGTGGCCCTTGGTCTATTCCATCATTTAAACCATCACCGACTTTAAGATTAGACACAGCTTGTGTTAACTTATCAACAAATTCATTGTATATCTTGCTTTGTACCAATAACCTGTTGGGGGACACACACGTCTATCACAAAGAAAAAAATATAATAAGAAATGCTCAAATTATTATACTTGTCCAGCATTTCTGAATTTGCCAGCAATGGCTCCTTTTACAGCAACATCGACGTCAGCAGTATCGAATACTATGAAAGGAGCGTTTCCCCCCAACTCTAATGATAGCTTCTTCACTGTATTAGCACTACCAGCTATTAACCTCTAGCAATAATAATAATAAACTTAATTTTATAGTGATGATAATGATGATGATACTAATAAAATGTGATTTTTATAGTATTTCTTACTTTTCCAATTGCAGTTGAACCAGTGAATGATATTTTGGATATTCTCTCGTCATCCAACAAAACATCAGATACTTCATGGACACTGTCTCTGCTGCAAGTCAGTACGTTGATGACGCCAGGCGGTATCCCTGCCTCATGTGATAACTATTAATAACTAGTTAATGACTATTGGTATAACTATAGAGCTAACCTGAGCTATAGCCAGAGCAGTTAGCGGCGTTTCTTCTGATGGTTTAATTATTATAGAGCAACCAGCAGCTAATGCAGCGCCTGCCTTTCTTGTTATCATTGCCAATGGGAAATTCCACTACATCAGTTATTAAAATAAATAGTTAATTATTGATATTCTTACTGGCGTGATCAAAGCGGCAACTCCTACTGGCTCTTTCATTAAAAACATTCTTTTATTTTCTTGAGGAGAAGGCAAAACATCTCCATACAATCTCTTTCCTTCTTCGCTGAACCAATCAATAAATGACATGCCATAGTTAACTTCATTTAACGATTCAGTATATGGCTTCCCCTAAATGCATTATTTATTAAGTACATTATTTATCAAATAAATTATTCTATTACCATAAAGCTGCAAATTTTTGTCAGCAAAAAATTTCATCAGATTCATCAGGAATTTTTGTTTGACAAAATTTTTGCTCCACGTAGGTATCAGACAGAAATGATGAAAAATTTATTGACAAAAATTAATTTTGATGAAATCTTTTACCCACAAAAATTTGGAACTATAGGGTAACTTAAGGCCTTTCTACACTTGAACCGGTTCCAGAAGTCGGCTCATCAATGTGCTCATCAATGTGCGCATCAAGTGATTCCACACTATCTTCAACATCATATATATTTTGATAGTATTTCTGATCCAGCTGCCATTGGTTTATTTTGGTTATCTATTGAATGCGCATTCAAACCACATATGGAGATGGTTTGAGATAATGACTCATTGAAGTCAATGCCGCATCAGGTATGGAATGACTAGACTGGAACCGGTTCCAAACCAGTTTCAAACCAGTTCAATGCACATTAGAAGTGCTAGTGTAGAAAGGCCTTGATTTATTAATTTTAAATTACTTTATTAAAATCAATACGTTATTTTATTCTTAACAATTATTTTACTTGTTCTATAGTTATCATTTTTGCAATTTCCGATTTGTGTTTATTCATCAATTCATACCACTGTCTCAGTAATAGGGCTCTACTCTATAATAATACTCTATTATACTATGATAAATATTGCATGAATGTACTTTGGCAGTTTGCCTCCTCCATAACTTTTGAGCAGCATAAGAAGACTCAATAGCTTCTAAAACGTCTTCTCTTTGCATGTCAGGAACCTATTAAAACGATCATAAAAACGTATAACTTTTAAATATTTTATTACTTCAGTAATAAGCTCTGTGTTGGCTGGATTAGTGACTGGAAAGTATCGTTTCTCTTTAGCTTCTACCCATTGGCCGTTAATCCATCCTCTGTTTTTAAAAAACGGGCTCCTCGCTCCTTGAGGCACACCTTTACCCAAGAAATTGACCAACTTGGTAGCCATTAGAAAGCCTAGTTAGCTTGATTCGGTCTTCTCCTAGTTCTCCTGGCTGAGCTCCTCAGGGCACTCTACTCTACAGGCACTCCTGCTAATTTGTGCTGAACCTGCCTGTCCAGTCTTCCCATTTTTATCCATGAATAATGCAGCTACCACCACCCACGCAATTGACGAGATAATGATTGCTGCAGCTGAGCATAGCAGGCATTAGCAGCTGCAGAATGCTTCTCTTGTTGATAGCTTCACTGCTGCTCTTTCAAAAAGGATGCTACGGGAACCAGTTAGACCTTTTTTCTTTTATTTTTATGATACATAATCATTGTTTAGGTATCTGCAATTTAACTTGTTGTATTTTGGGTGTAATAGCATACCGATAATCACATACAAACTATTCTCCACTGACAGCAGTGAACCCTTAACTACCGTACAATACAACGGTGAGATTAGGGATCTTATTATATCATTATTACATATTTATTACATATCATTATTATATATCAGAAAACTCCAATGGCAATGTAATATCAATACCATCCAGTGGCGACATTTATAGTACGTGGACATCAGACTCAAGCAGCAGTAGATGCTGCTGGACAATAGACTCTACAGTATTTACAAAAGAAAATGGAGGAGAAATTTTGACGATTGGATTAGACGATCTTTGTCCGCAAACTAGAGAATATTACAACTGTGAGGGTGAACTGTGGTTCTGTTCAATGGACTCACAGATATTGCAATCATCAGTATACTCACTGCCAATAGAGTCTACTGACAATGCATTCATGAAATGTTCATCAAGGACATCTTCTTTTCAATGTCCCAATCAAACAATCTCCTCAGGGTCACCCTCTCAATCCTATACATCACCTTCTCAATCCTATACCACACTCTTTCAATCCTATACTGCACCCTTTCAATCCTATACCTCACCCTCTCAATTCTATACCTCACCCTCTCAATCCTATTCCTATACCTCACCCTCTCGATCCTATACCTCACCCTCTCAATCTTATACCTCACCTTCTCAATCCTATAACTCACGCTCTCAATCATATACCTCACCCTCTCAATCCCATACCTCACCTTCTCAATCCCATACCTCACCCTCTCAACCCCATACCTCACTCTCTCCATCACCAGTATCTGTACATTATCTATCATCAATTACAATGTCACTAGCAGCTCCTACAGTGACTTCAATTGGCCTGATATATTGTCCTCCAGATGGTATTTGGTACAGCACATTAAGTAATAGCACTATTAATGGTACATGCTATAAAGGAACCGTGACAGGTATACATTATACACATAGTCACATACATTTCTTAACATAAACTCCTTCTCCTTTCTCCTCTTCCTCCCTCTCTTCCTTTCTCTCAGCTAGTAGATTATGCAAAAGCAATGGTGAATGGGATGAGATTGTCTGCCATACTAATAGACAGTTCAACAATATACTCAATATTGTAAATAATGATACCGTATAGCTTGAAATTTTCGTGGGTCGATATTTTCGTGGTTTCTAGTGGGGCAATTGGTGGTTTACTTTAATTTGGTGGTTTACTTTAATTTCGTGGTTGACAGTTTACATAACCACTAAAACCACGGAATTTACATTCCACGAAAATTTCAAGCCATCACCAAAATTACCTCTCTCTTTCACTTATAGAGTAACATGTCATTCACAACAGCAATACAAGCACTATTGAATATTACTGCTACTGATGATGATGGTGGTATAACTACAGAGCAAAAAGTGATCCTGTTTGATACCATAATCAACAACAATGAGAACCAGTCACTGGAAGGGCTGGAGGAAAGGACAGAATTATTACTAGCACTTGAAAACAACATAAAACAAGAGCTGATAAATGAAGATGAGGTACACAACTAATAATAATAATAATAGGATTAAAAATTACAGTGCTTACCTCTCATATTCTTAATTTTAAAATAGGACACAAGACAGTCAGGATATGGACAAATATTGCTGTCAATGGATAAATATGCACTGAGCATCAACAGGAATTATACAAAGACATCAGACAATATAAGTAAAGCCCAGCCACCCATTCATCACTGAGCCTGAAATTACATTCAAACAATGTTCTTACATTGTGTCTGAACATTGTTTAATTTGATCTGCCATTTTTATGAAATGATCAGACAGGGTTTTCCACAGGATTTTGGTATAGTCTTTATGCAGCTTCTTGCTCAGAAGTTGGGCCTAAAGACCCAGTGTTATTATAGTGCAGGGTATTTAGAAAAAAAATAACATGGAGAAAATTTTCTTATATGACTGTACATGTGTTCTATGATAACATCTGCCAATCCTTTGATGTGGTAATAGACTATAATAACAATGTCCGACCCACTATAGACTTTTCATAAGAACAGGGTATAAAGAGAGAGAGAGATAACAGGTCAAATTGATAAGGAAAATTTAGAGTATTTAATGGTCTCTCAGCCGTAGAATTGGAATTTTTGAAAGGACTGCAAAGTCCTGTAATGCCAGTAATGAAAACATTACTACATCACAAAAAGTGACTTTCACACAAACATGATCATAGTCCCACCCTGTGAAGGGGTGGGGCGAGACTACCATGGTCTACTCATAGATAGTAGAGTACAGGATATTAGATATTAAATATTAGATATCAGATATTAGAGTTCCTGTACTCTAATATCTATGGTCTACTTTATATAAAAATCATAGAAGTGAGGCTAACATACTAGTACTGCACATGTAATTATTTCTTTGAAACGTATTTTTTCTGATACATATACATGTTCTTACGTCGTGCATCAACTTTGAGCTGATCATGATTTTTATCAAGTTTGGACTTTTTAAAATTTTTGAAGTTGCTCAAAAATTGAGCCAAAGTCCCTGGACCTTGGTCAAATTTTGCTAAAAATGAAAAGGAAAAATTTCTATATTTTTATAATTTTTCCTGATACCAAGAGTGGATAATTATCCACTCTTGCTGATACGTATACATGTTTTTATGCTGTGTAGAAATCTTGAGCTGATTCCAATCAAATTTGTTTTTTTATGACTTTTAAAGCTGCTATAGTGCTGATCAGCTCATGAAGCATGCTCACTTAGCATTCTTTGTAGGTAGGACATGTTATTGTGTTAAATTGCTTTTAATAAATTTATTTCAAAAATTATATTGTTCAGACAAAATGGTAGAGAGCAACACAGGGTTTGGTCGAAAAATATTCAGTGTTTGACTGTTATTTCAGGCTATGCATGATCCACCACTCAACTTAGTTGAAAGTAAATTTGCGCTTAGTTCAACCTAAAATAAAACACATTTCTAGGCAATTCAATGAATTGCCATTAGACACTGAAAAAACAAAGTTGAGTGGTGAATGGTGGGCGTAATTATTGCTTTTATTATTATTATTATTATTTAGTTATTAAAGTCCAAAGAGTAGAAGATGTGAATCAGTTAATACTAGCCATTGATAATAACAATGGAGACTCACTATTAATACCACCTGGTGCTTTCCCTTCAAATAGGAACATCACAATTGCATCATTCATATACAGGAATCTATCAAACATACTAACTAATAATGGATCGTCAATAATAACTCCAGTAATATCAACAACGACAAATTGTAATGATAATTGTAATATAAGCCAGCCTGTAATGATATCATTCAATACAACAAACAACAACAACAACAACAAGGTAAATAATAATAATAATAATAATGATGAATAAATATAGTTGTTGTTATTGTTGTATCTCAGAACATTAATAGGTCTCTATTCTCATGTGTCTATTGGGAATTTATATTGTGAGTAATGAAATAGTAATATAGATGTACATGTACATACAGTAGTAATACATGTACATTGTAACACAGTGTTCAGTAGCCTCTATATAACAGACACTTTGGTACAAGAAAGTACATCTGTCATACAAAGGTGTCCTTTATGTGGAGGTTATTTGATACAGTAAGGAATGTAATTGGCACACTAGGTGCTGTATCTTAAATGGAGGTGTCCCTATAGAGGCTATACTGTAACAATAATGTATTAGTTAATACATGTAGGAATGAAGGCAGTTTACCTAGTGGATATTGGTCAACAGAAGGCTGTACTACTGCATACAACAATAATATAATGAACTGCTATTGTAATCATCTAACACATTTTGCTATATTACTAAGCCCAGGAGTGACACTACCAGTAAGACTTTATTCATCTACTCATATATTTTTTTATATAATATAATAATTATTTATTTTTCTCTAGACAGATTCGGTACATGTACAGATATTGAATATACTCGGTAACATATTGGTACCAATGTCACTGATGTGTATATTAATTGTCATTGTAACTTACACATGTACCAGGTAAATGATAGTGATTATAGTAATATCAGTATAGTAGCAGTAGTAATATAGTGGCAGTACAGTAATAATAATCTCTCTCTTATCTGTGTACAATCACTCTTTTGATCTGGTTTGGGAAATGTAGTGGTTTTATGAATACAATAATAATAATGTAAAATAGAACTTGAGATCTATTTTAAAGTGGATTGTCTCTCAAGAGGGAAAGTACTATATCTGTTTCTGAGCCTTCCCTCTCTCTCCCTCCTTTCTCTTCCTTGTTAATTCAATCCCTATACATGTATATGTACATGTATGTGTATTGTTGTGTGAATATAAGTGTACAGTGTACATGCAATAGGTCTCTATGGAACATAAGGAGCTACATTCATGTAATGCTGTGCATCAATCTATTTGTATCTCAATTATTATTCTTAATAGGAATAAACCAAACTAAATACAAAGTAAGATATGCACACACAATCCTATCTCTATCGCCATTAATTATTATTATTATCATTATTATTATTATTATTATTATTATTATTATTATTATTATTATTATTATTATTATTATTATTATTATTATTATTATTACTAGTTAATATGCACATTGATATCCATTGGACTACAGTACATGTTTCTCGTCACGTTCATGTGGATGCTAATGGAGGGTGTGGTCCTCTACATATCATTAATTAAAGTGTTTGTTAAACACAACAAAAGATACATGATTGGATTCACAATAATAAGCTACAGTAATTAATTAACCAATTAATTAATTACCCTATGAATATCGTTAAGGTGTCCCTGCCTTATACATGATCATAATGATACCAATTGGACTATTGGTAGGGACAGAAGACCACGTCAACTACCTGCTATATGCTAATAATGAATTAATAGCGTAAGTTGTGTTTAATTAATAGTTATTAACAGTTATTAATTTATTATAGATGTTGGTTGGACTATGAGAGTGGGTTTATATGGAGTTTCATCATACCAGTCATAATAATATTACTAGTAAGAACCGATATTAACATAACAATAATAATATTAGTAACACCAACGATGAATAGATTAATATTGGCTTTTTCGCGATGGCTATCATAATTATGAAGAAACACAGAAAAAATAGGATCAGCAATGAAAACAGTTTAAAGGACGATGCTAAGTAATAATGTCACAACCACAAATTATTATTAATTGCTAATACAATTACATGTATATTTATTGTACATATAGGTATTGGATAAAATCATCAATATCACTGACTATTGTGATGGGAATCGGTTGGATTGGGAATGTGTTTTTCTTCTCTGAGGAGCTATTATTTATAGCATACATTATGACAGTGTTCATATCTGCACAGGGAATCATCATCTTTATATTATACGTCCCATTATCTAATAATGTAAGTAATGTACCGTATAGCGGGAAATTTTGGAGGGAATTAAATTTGGCAAATTTGGCGTTTTGATAGCCATTTGCCAAAATTAAACCTGCCATTTTAAGCCATTATACGCATGCTCAATGGCACATGGCCACCAATTCGCCAAATTAAAATCTGACAATCACTAAAATTTAGCAATTCGCCAAATTTTAGTCCCTCCAAAATTTCCCACTATACGGTACTTAAGAGAGAGTTATATATTTACATTTATAATTATGTAGGTTAGGAAAGTCATGTGGAGATGGTGTAAAAATAATCTTCCAAGATCATTAATGAATAAATTAATAAAAGACAAGAAAGCTACCGAAGTATTAACAATAATAATAATAATAACAAAAATAATAATAATACAAATTATTAATAATAATAATAATACTAAAATTATCTCTAATTTACAGGCTAGTGAAGAAATGACAGAGACAACAAGAGTGTCAGTTTCTTAGTAACCGACTAACGAACATACAGACAATTAATACAGGGAACTAGCAGGAGAAAATAAACTACATATAATCACTAATTGTTTCCAGATAATGCAATAAAAACTGTTTATAAAGTTTATCATTAGTACACTTAAGCAAAACCTCCATTTTATTAGCCGCCATGACAACTTCTAGCAAGAACCGATCCAACGTAGACACCTAAACAAATAAATAAATTAATAAATAAATAAATAAATAAATAAATAAACAATTAATTATTGTCTTACATGTTGGCCATATAAATACATTTTCTTGACATCTGCCAAGTCGCCGCTACATGCCAGTGTAGTTATAAATCTTTTACTTAATAAATCTTGAAGTGTCTTTAGACTTGGTATGTACCTCATGGGGTAGTTATCCTGAGAGCTATAATAATAATAATAATAATAGTAATAATAATAATAATAATAATAATAATAATAATAATAATTGTCTTTATGCTTTGAGCTGATTCCGAAAAATAATTTCTAAATTATGAGCATTTTTAAAAACGAGCCAAGTTTTGAAAAATAGCAAAGGCTTATAGCCCATGGTTTTTTCTAAAAAATGGCTCCGAAAACACCCCTAATTTTTATTACATTTTCTAATACACATTGATGTCCTTATGCTATGTAGAAAGTTTGAGTTGATTCCGACTTCAATTTTTCAAGTTATGGCCGTTTTTTTCTAATGGCCAATTTTGGAAAAATACCCAAGGCTATAGCCCATGGTTTTTTCTAAAAAATGGCTTCGAAATCACCCCTAATTTTCATTACATTTTCTGATACACACTGATGTCCTTATGCTATGTAGAAAGTTTGAGTTGATTCCAACTTCAATTTTTCAAGTTATGGCCGTTTTTTAAATAGCCAATTTTGGAAAAATACCCAAGGCTATAGCCCATGGTTTTTTCTAAAAAAATGGCTCCGAAATCACCCCAAATTTTTATTACATTTTCTGATACACATTGATGTCCTTATGCTATGTAGAAAGTTTGAGCTGATTCCGACAAATAATTTTCGAGTTATGAGGATCTTAAGAAGGGAACCAATTTTTGCTTTTCCAAAAATTATGTAGCTCTGAGGAACTTTAAAAATTAAAAAAAAAAATTCAAATTTGATCAGAATCAACTCAAAGTTAATAATATGCAACATAAGAACATGTATATGCACCAGAGAATGTAACAAAAATCCTCTCATATCCATCTGGAACTTATGTGTATGTATAACTACATTACTAGATAAACGATGCCCTCACTCACACTAGTGGTAGTGATTTCCAGTATTGCTCATACTCTGATGCTGTTATGACTGGAGTAGGGTTGAGTAATATGTGAGGGACTGTACTGACACTTTCTTTAGACGCTAACTATTAATCACTGTTAATAACTACCAATAACTTATTAAATACTTACAATATCTAACAAAGATTCTTCTGGCTCCTCTTTACTGATCAATAACTGATCCATTTCATTCACTAGTAATCATGATAACTAATTAGCTAATTATAAAGGGGCTTACTCCTCCTCTCTGGGCTCCTCAACACAGCAGATGAAGTGTATGGGATTGATTGATGAATAAATTCAGCAGATGATTGCCCATAGACAACAGACAATGTATTGAACTCACTAAACAAAGACCCCTGTAATTAAAATATTAATTAATTAATTATGTATATAGAAAAACCTTTTACTGTACAGACCAATAATTAATTAATATTAATAATATTAAATAGTAATTACAATAACAATAACAATAACAACAATAATAATGATAAATTATATAATTACCTTTGAGTGTGTGCTCAGGTGTGAATAAACTTTCTGTGATCCACAAACAATCTTCTTGGCAGCTGCAACGTCTTTCTTCAATAAACGATAGTACAGCAATGCTCTGTCTCTCAACAACATATCAGTCTCCTCCTCTATATGATAATAATACAAATAATACATTGTACATTAGTTCGCCATACAACAGGTAATTTCATTGCTTGCAAACTGTGGCTACTTTGATTTTCAGGTAACAGTAGAAAACTGTTCTATTGTTGGGATCAAATTCCTCACAGCATCAAAGTAACCAGTGACGACAGATTGCAAGCAACAGAATTGCCTGGTCACTGGTGTATGGTGGACATTTAGTTTATTATACTAATATACCAATGCAGTATTCTAATAGCCTTCCAAGCATTTCCTGGCACTCTGGTGGCCTTTTGAAAAACATTTTCATCGTTGCAGATAACAGCTGTAATTTAACTTCAAGAGAGGACTCTCCACTGATATTGTTGATAATGTCTTCCAAAATATAAGGACTTTCGTCTAATGACTAAGCAACAATAATAACAACAACAACAACAATTTGTTTACCTCTCCATACTCCCCTAGTATCCATATTAATGAACCACGCCCACTGCCGCTGGTCATTGTTGCATAACAAGAATTAAGACGAGGCAATATCAGCTCATGTGTGTTTTCATATTTACGCAAAATATCTATCATGATAAAATTAATTTAACGAGTGGGTGTGATGATCTCACTTGACATTGTAGTGATGACTTCTGATGTCACATGCTCAATTTCCATAGGAATGAGAGCCAGTAGTCTATCGACACAATAATTAGCAATGTCAGGTAGTTTGACTGATATGAGTCCAATGGCATGTATGGACTTTTGTGACACGCCCACATTGACATCAGTAGCACACTCACTGTGAAAGGGGCATTAATTAAAGAACAAAAATGAACCACCAAACCTCAACTCTTGGATTATGTCTTTTGAATTTGAGTCATCGCTGACCTGCGTCAATAGGTCGAGCTTTTTAAGTTTAACATATGGTGGGTCATTGAACCTAACAACAAGAACAGGAATACAGAAGTGTTGGGTATTTTTTAGAATTTTGGTGTTTTCTTAAAATGGCTGTAACTTGAAAAATTGAAGCCAGAATCGGCTCAAACTTTCTACATGGCATAAGGACATCAATATATATTTTTTAATGTAATAAAAATTTGGGGTGATTTTGGAGCCATTTTTCAAAAAAAATCCTAAGGCTATAGCCTTGGGTATTTTTCAAGATTTTGGCGTTTTTAAGCTTAAAAAATTAAAGTTGGAATCAGCTCAATGTTTCACGTTACCTGTAATAAAAGTTGTGATAGTCAGAGCTGAAAAGTGTCGAGTTTTGTGAGAGTATTATTTCAATGTGCTGGAGGACAACATAGATTACTTCAGAAGGACCAGATCCAAGGAGAGTCAGCAAAGGAGCTGAGGAGAGAGAGAAAAGAGAGAGAGAAAGGAAGAAAGAGGATCATAAAAATAAAGAGTATGTTCGTTATTATTTTCAGTTACTTTTGACTCTTTCAAACACGTCATGATACACCTCAGGCATAGACTCGGTCAAGTGAAAAAACAATCTAATTGTTGCCATGACAACACCAACCATTACATGTTTAAGACGATCATCAAGGGCATTCTAAAACCACACCCATTAAGTACCACGCCCAAAAAGGAATAACATACCAGTATTTCTAAAGCTTCTTCATCATCAGTACAGTTATACTTTAATAAAAGTTGAAGGACTTGACATTGTCCCCATTCACTGAAATCCCTTATCCTTATCAAATAATTATTAATAGTTATTAAATAGTTATTTGTTACCTGTTAATTAAGTAATGAGCTAATTTCTTGCTAATAACAATCCCTCCATCATTAGCCAGTATCTCTTCAAGGGCTGAAAGGCAGTTACACACAACAAGAGGATCATCATCTCTCAGCATATCATACAGCACACTAGACCACTTCATATCTAATTAATATCAATTAATTAATTAATCAATTAATGGTGATGAATATATATAATTACCCGAAACAATGTCAGGTGCTATGTAATATAATTTGACCACACCCATCACTGCAGTTCGCCTAACATAAGGACTCTTATCAGTCAGTCCAGATTGAAGTGGAGACTCGATATACTCAATGACATTCGGCAATCTATCAATAATTTACATATAATACATACATGTGCATGTATAATGAATACGTATAATATTAATACATATATAAATGCATATATAATTACATGTAGGTATTATTTACTTTTGGTATTATACTGACCTTAATGATGACATGCTCCGTAGAGCGAGCCCCCTTATAGTGGGGTTCCTGTCACTAGCGTCTTTACGTAATGTATTAATAGTTAGGAGGGCCAACTCTGAATTACGTTCTGCGTATGTACTCAGATATAAATAAACCATCTTCTTCTGTACTATATTCTGAGTAGCCCCAGCCTATACAAACACACAATACATCCCAATACTAATGACTGAGGGGTTGGCTCATACCATTATCATTTCGCTGAAGAGCGGAGATACGTCAACTCCTAATGTCATGTATGCTATGACCTTTTGAACCACTTGTTGATACTGAGCGGGATCTCTTTGGATTTCAATACTTCGCAACAGAGACCTAGAAACAAAACTAGACTCGTGTATTGATAAAATAAGCATTTACCTGAGCTCCCCAACTTCACTCTTCTTGTCGGAAGCCATCTTGAAGCTACTGCGCATGCGCAGAAAGAAAAAGGGAGGGACATAAACCGAAGCAATATGGCGGCTCGTGTATTGCCTAAGCCTAAAGGTGGACAAAATGCTTTTCCATACAGAAGAACACTAGACCACCTTAAAGCATGGAGACTCTCTTTACCACCTAAGATTAAAAAAGCAACAATAAGCTATAACCCTACTACTGATAACCACACTGGAATGAAGTAATAATAATTATTATTATTATAGTAGATAGTAATCAATAATAATTATTTTAATTAAATATATTATGTGTATTATTAGGTTATTTACATATCAACATGTGCCACAATTAAAATATAATAATCCAGACGTATTGTTCAGTATAGTTGATACTATAAAAGTGACCCAATGCACATTAAAACTGACTACCAGTAAGTATAATAATGTTAATGGGGCCTGGTTTATTACTGTTGCCATAGAAAAAGGTCAACGCTTCATTATAAATGGAGAGAACACAGAATCAGTTGAAATCAAAAGGAAACTGACAGAGAAACTCAAAGAGATTACAGAATGAATTGAATAACTGTTGATAGATTGTCATAATAATAATGTTTTATAAGAAAATGAATGATTATATATATTTAGTTATAACTTGGTTGTGCATCTGTTCCCTCCATATCCCTCATTGCATAGACACTTGAAGCTCTTCCCACCATTGGTACGTGCACATACACCTTGTCTGCATCTACCAGGAGTACATTTATTAGGAGGGACTTTCTCAATGCATGTGTATCCAGAGTAACCCCATAGTAGTGCAGCAGCACAGTCACACCAGCAACCACACTCGTGTCTCCTGTATGTTAACACTCCAACATTGCATATGTGCTGGCAATGTCCAAAGTATCTCTTACTGTATTCTAAACTAAAGGAAAGGAGAGAGAAAGAAAGAATTACATTGATTATCTGAAGTTCATCTTTAGTTGTGTGATGTATTATGCCAAGAGTATTATAATCAGGGTTTTATTGTATCTGATTTTAACAATTAATGCATGAGGCCATATTTATGCATCACTCTAGTTTTAAACTCACTAAAATCAGTACATGTACTGCACTGTGCAATTAAAAGAGAGCTCATACAGTATGGCATATCGTGGGTGTGTAAACTGTGTATATTATACTTGCAATCAACTCCATAGTAGCCAGGATGACAATAGCAATGTCCATTAACACACACACCTTTATTGGAGCAATCATTAACACAATCACGAGCCTATAGTGTAATGAACAACAACATTAATGATTTACAACATTAATGATTTAAGTATAGTCTAGCTTACATGGCAAAATCTTTCGTATGGTGGACATTTTAATTCACCTACGTATGTTACCACACCTTTGGTTATATTAATAGATATCAACTATTATTTATTATAATGAAATTGTAAATGACAAATATTAATTAATTTACTGTATCGTTTTCTTTACAAGCGTACCACTTATCATCAATTAAGATTTTCAAATTATTTTTAGAACAGCTGACCTAATAAATTATTGTATTACTCTTAACTTAACCTTCATTCAATTTACCAATTTACCTTGTAGCAGCTAGCACCAAATGGAATTATCGTGTTATGGTATCTTACAGTAACATTCCATGAGTTATTGTGAACAATACATCTCTTGCCATCACAATTTGAAGACACGACTTCATCATCAAAAAAAGGAGAAGTAGAAGGCTAAAAAGAGAAAAGGAGTATTAAGGATATAGCTTGATAGTTATTCTTACATTATCATTGCTATAGTATGGGCAGTAATCAATCAGTGGTGAGTGTCCTCCAGCATGTTCATCATAAAAATACTAACAACAACAATAAACAACAACAAGAACAGAACTAACTTGATACTGTTCAGGTAAGACGTATTTGTAATATACTCCTCCAGTGCATATTGTCATGCCATTAAATCTACTGTTGCAGCCTTGAAGTACAGAGTTATTGCAGAAAGACTCAGCGCTGTCTTCTTTGGATAATTCCTTGCAACTTTTATCCAAAAAGCCACATCCTTTATCCTTGCCCCAATGCAATGTGCCAGCATAGTTATAGTTAGGCTTGTACCAACTATGATAATAATATAATCGTTATTACTATTAATACCAATTGAAGTATTACCCTGTATCTTCGAATAAGGCTAATGTGATTCTAGATATAACAGGAACACTGTTGTCCCAATAATTAGTCATAATGTCACCCTAAAAAATTTGCCAAAGATCATACATAGTACATGGCATTTTGTTGAAAATGGCTATGAGACAATTCTCCAATTTTTATGATTGACACTTTCTGAGCTTACCATCATTAGCCTTGATTCCCACAACAATCTGCCATTTGACTTATCTTCAAGTGGAAGGCCTTTAATTAATGAACAATTAAACTGTTTCTTAGCTTCTCTCTTAAACAAATGAAATAATAATAATATATATTTTTTAAATTTAGCTTACCACAACAGCTTTTAGCTTGAGTATTTTAGTAAAATGATTAGGGAATAGGTCAGTCCAATTATTGTACATATGTACATTAATAATTAATGGATCCAATAAGTACATACTGCAATGATAATTATAAAAAATAAAATAATAATAATAATAATAATAATAATAATAATAATAATAATAATAACAATAATAATATATGAATTACTGTACACCATGAAGACAATTTTTTTTGGTGAATCCTGCAATTCTAAGATTTTATGAAATAATTTTTTTCAAATAGCTTGAAAACTGCACCACATAGCAATGGAGCTGCAGAATTTTGCAATTTTATTTTTTTGGAACGGAGAAAAAATTTCGAAATTTGCAAAAAATTGACAAAAATTTCATGGTATACATTCTTGGTATTACTCACCCATCCTTATCCCTCAATGGGAGTCCATTCAAGTCCCTGAGCATTAGCGGAAAACCTAAATCAGTTCTAAAATAAGGAATCAGTCTATAAGAGAACCCCTATTAATAAAATGATAATTAATATTATCATTAATTGCAATAACTATTACCAATATTCTCATTATTTCTTGCAATATATAGTATATCGTCTGTTCCTTTTTGACAATTCGTTCAATACAAATATTTATATAACCAATTAGTGGTCTGTGGAAATAAATAAATAATGAACCACACCCATCAATTAATTACCTATCGTTAGTTGCATGCTGCTTGCATGTCCCTCCCGTGGAGACCACACCCATTAAATTACATGCACTGCTATTCAAAGCTGCTACATGTAGTACATAATTGGTTCTGTCCCTTGGTTTCCATGACGATGTCCTTATCTTGTCATAACAATTAATAAACGTAGCGTTATCAATACAGACAGTACATCCCTATAAATAGAATTATTATTATTATTTATTAATATTTATTATTATTATTACTTGAGTGTACTTTTCATCAACTGGAATAGGTCCACAGTAACTCACTGGGTCACATTTATTTCTACAAAATCTCTTATCAACATTGTCTTCATCGGGATGTACATAATAACCAAAAGGACAATGACTGTATAAAAATGAATGATAATAAAATTATAATAAAAAAAATTACCAAACCTCTCCAATAATAGATCATTGCTGCTGTGCTTCAGTTTTTCTACTGATAATGCACCATTTATCCAGTCAATGGCAGGACCAAATAAATGACACTTTTTAACAAAAAAACATTATATAGAAGACTATTGCATTTTTATTATTACTTTGACAAAATTGGATAGCTCTGGATTCAAACTATATAGCAATGAATAAAATAATATTATTCAATAATTAATACAAAAGGTACCTATCTACTGTATGATGGTAGATTGGCTGTATCTGCAAAGGTGCCCACTCACCCTAAAAAATAACAGGAGCAACATGTATAATAAAAACAACAGAATACCACTCACCACTGCCAATTCCAGCAGAGCTGAACTGCTGTAGAGGACAAGAAACAAGGGCTGTAGCAGAATCATGACATTAGTAACAGTAATGATATTCATTATAATGTAGTACTACTTTATTATTATTAAATATTGTTATTAAAAATGTATAAATATTTCGATTTTAGTGTGTGCTTAATTTAAACTGTTTAAAAATTTTATTTCATCTCCTCTAAGTGATAACTCATCCCCAGGTAACTTAGGATCAGTACGCACCTAGCAAAAATAAATAAATTTTTTTAAATAAATAAATAAATAAATACTTTATATACAGATGCAGGGCTGTATGAGCTATCACCACAACTACAAAAAGAGACATCATTATGATACTAAGCAATGATTATTATTAATTCTTACTGGCAATTTCTTTTAGGATAACGTTCATTATACGTAAATACTCTGGAGCCACACCCACCACATTTAAAACATCTCTTCACAGCACGTAATCTCTTAATTACATGTGACTCATTTATACATCTACTACTTGCTGACTCAGCAACATAATTACACTAATTAACAATAATTAATCAATTAATTAATATGACAAGGCCACACCTACCTCGATACAATTAACAGCACTCACTGTCAGTTCTGTGGTTGATCTTAATTTCTCTTCGATCGCTTCCTTTCTCTCCAACTGCTTAAAGTAAGTATCTTCCTTTTCCCTTTCATCCTATGTACATGTACATGTATATGCATGTATAATAGTCATGTGATAGTCATGTGACTATAATTATACCTCATCAACTGCAGAACTATGAGAAGAATGAGTTGATAATAATCTTTCAATTTTATCAATATCTAGTGAAGAGGGACGAGATATAGAGGGAGAGTCTGAAGAAACAGGAGAGAGTCGAGAGGGAGAGGAAGGAGGAGAAAGGGAGGGAAGGGGAAGGTATAAATCAGCTTTGGTGTGGACACTGTTTGTACAATCCTATGTGAATGACATACCCAGAAGGTGTGGATATAAACAATAAATTCAATTACATATGTCCTTAAATAAACCAAAAGTAAGGTAACTATATGCCATGAATAGGCTACAACAAACTCCTCCCAGCAATACAAAGTTCAACTACTTACCAAACTCCTTTGTACATGTCATATCATTAATTTTTGACTTAGATTTATCTCTCTTTAATACATTAATTGCATGTTCCTATAAATCAATATACAAGTTCTACTAATAATTATCAATAACTATTAATGGCTCCTCACTTTAGCTCTTTGTTTTGCTATTTCTCCTCTTGTTAGTTTAGATGTCTTGCTTAAACAGGAGCTGCTGTCTTTCCCTCTCTCACTTTTAAAAGGTCTGACATTTTCTTTAGACGCAAGCATAGGCATTGCCTTGGTAACAGGCACTGCCTTGGCAACAGGAGTTGTCTTGGTGACAGAAGTTGCCTTAGTAACAGGTGTTGCTTTAGCAACCGGTGTTGTCTTGGTAATAGAAGTTGCCTTAGTAACAGGCGTTGCTTTAGCAACCTGTGTTGTCTTGGCAACAGGTGTTGCCACGGTGACATTGTCAGGAGTAAATAGTTCGAAATCAGATTGAGTAAGTTTAGGTACGGCTTGTTTCTTTTCTTTTTCTTTTGAGAATTCATTTAACAGCTGCAATGGAGTCTTATCTGATTTAACATCACCTAAACATAATCATTAATAAATAATCAATCATTGTTGTGGTTTACTTTTTTCTTTCTCTTTCTTGTCTAAAAATTTATTATAGCACACAGCACCAGGAGTCTGAGCAGAGAGTAGCTTCTTACTATATACAATACACAAAATCACCAAATCCCATCACAACGTACACTTACAATATCTCACTCCCTTTCTGTGTCCTCACTCCATCTTTAAATATTTTCACACCTCCAGATTTCTCGCAGAGTTCTTTGCCAAGGACTGTCACACTTTCCCTGGCTCTTTCACTTGCACCTGGAGCAAACAGTCTATTCGAATATTCGTCTTCAGCTCTGTCTCTTTTAGCTTTGATCTTCTCATTGCTAAACCATTTTCCTCCATGAAACACTTCGTTCTTTCCTAATATCTTAGCATGGATGTCAATAGTCTTCGGTCCATAACTATTGAAAATAGGATATTCCAAATAAAAAACCACAATGGTCCTTATTCAATAATTTATTTCACTTTCTGATACATAATGTGTACATGATCTGTAATGTATGTTATGTATACATACTTTCCCTGTAACTCCATCCTTTTCGATCTAGATTTAAAATATTCTCCTTGTAAATGATACTCACACTTTCCACCATACTGCCTATTTTAATCATGATGATTCTTTCTAAATTCACTCAATATATATATGACTCTCACTTATTTGCAAAATTCGTGCATTTCTTTCCAGACTTGGTATTAGCAGAGCAGACAGTGTAATCAAATGAGACACCAAGGATCATCAGTTTATTGTTATTGTCTAATGATAGACTGAAATTACTGCCAGGACCAGAATTAACCTAAATATTATCATAATAATAATAATACAACATTCAATATTAATAGTAAAGGTCATAACATTTACCTGTTTATTTTGTATTTTTGGATTTAAGATGGCGACCACTGTACCGATTGGTGTCTTCCAATGGACATCAAATGCTTTATCAAATAAAAATAACGAGACTACGTCATTCTGTGAAGACAAATCACTCAATTTCCATACACTGAACTTTGAACCCTAATAGCAATTAAATACATTAATATTATTAATTTATTATAAAGTACTTTTGTTGTATTTTTGGGTGGTAGTTTATTAACTAATACTCCGCCCGTCACCCAATCTCCGGCAATATCAAAATCCTCCTTCTTTATATTAGGATATATTTGCGGTATCCTAATCATCTTACGCCCACTCATCCTTTCTTTCATTAATTCGGACGAAACTAATGGATTCCTGTTTTGAAGATAATTGGTAGGTGTGGTCAAATAAAACACATTAACTAGTGGGTGTGGTCAAGTAATTAAATCACATACTTTATTCTAAGTCCGGTAAATCGTTCAGTATCACATGACTCATCGCTGTTAGCCCCACCTACTTTACGTCTCTTAATTGATGATGTCATTTCATCAGGTGAGTGGGCGGTTCTTTTCCTCTGCCCAGTTTTAATAACTACACTCTCTTGATCTCTCTTGGTCGTTTGATTCGTCTCTCTTGATGTTTGCTTCTTTAAATATTCCAACTCTTGCTTCATTTTAAGCATTTCGGCTATCAATTGAGGATCACGTGACACACTATACATTACTAATTACCTCTTAATGAAGCCAGTTCATCAGATTCAGACTGTGAAGGAGGACTGACAGTTTTTTCTTGTGTCTCTCTCTCTTCTTCCTTCTCGTTGCTGTCTTGCTCTTCTTCACTTTCACTCAATACATCCATTAGCTCTGATATTGCAGCAAAATCATCTAAAGAAGAAAGGCAAGTCAGTATAAGTTGTGCCAACATCTTACCCTCTTCCAACGACGCCATCTTGATGCCCGCCAATATCTAATGCGCATGCGCAGAAGTTTTCATTACTTGTTATTAACTAATTTTCATTAATAATAATAATAGTAATAAAATTAATATGTAATGGAGAAATGCAAGAGGATATCAAAAAGAAAAAAACTGTTGTTGGAGAAAGTTAAGAAAAGAAAGCAGATAGTAAAAGGCAGTAAAAGATATAGATCTACTGCTGAAAATGTCGAATTTCCAGAAGAGCCTCCTGCAGTCACTAAATTCAGGCACTGGTGTACTACAACAGCATCGATAGCCATTAGTGATAAAGTATGTAGATATATTATAATTTGTGTATTTATTGATGTCTTTGTGCTACGTACAAAGTTTGAACAGTTTCTGACCAATAATTTTAGAGTTATGAGCATTTAAAAGAAACGGGCCAATTTTCGAAAAAAAAGCAAAGGCTGTAGTCCATAGATTTTTCCAAAAAATGGCTTCAAAATCACTCCAAATTTTTATTACATTTTCTGATACATATTGACGTCCTTATGCTGTGTAGAAAGTTTGAGCTGATTCCGACTTCAATTTATCAAGTTATGACCATTTTTAAGAAAACGCCAAATTTCTGAAAAATACCCAAGGCTATAGCCCATGGTTTTTCCAAAAAATGGCTACAAAATCATCCCAAATTTTTATTACATTTTCTGATACATATTGAGGTTTTTATGCTGTGTAGAAAGTTTGAGCTGATTTCAACTTCAATTTTTCAAGTTACAGCTATTTTAAGTAAATGCCAAAATTCTGAAAAATACCCAAAGCTATAGCCCATGGTTTTTTCCAAAAAATGGCTCCGAAATCACTCCAAATTTTTATTACATTTTCTGATAGATATTGATGTCCTTATGCTGTGTAGAAAGTTTGAGCTGATTCCGACTTCAATTTATCAAGTTATGAACATTTTTAAAAATGGGCCAATTTAAGAAAAGCAAAGGCTGTAGCTCATTGCTTTTTCCAAAAATGGATCCAAATTTTATGTCATTTTCTGATGTACATTTGATGTCTTATACTACATAGATATTTTGAGCTGTTTCTGACAAATAATTTTTGAGTTTTGAGCCAAATAAAATTCAAATATAATACACACTATTCATACAAGTACAACCTACATGTATTTCAAGGTGTATATTGGTGTTCATGGCTCCTCTCATGGCATTGGAGTTTTTGCAAAGGATAGGATAAGGAAGGGAGAGGTGTTAGCAGTAATACCAAGATCATCAACACTCTCCGCCGGTAATTCAACATTATCTGATCTTATTAGTGCCAATATAATTACGGATAATTCCTGGATACCATTGATAATCACCATCATGAACGAATACTCAATGAAAGTAATTATTGCTGTATTGCTGAAAATTTTGTGGTTTGCAATTTAAGTTTTCAAGTATTATTATTTATTAATAGGATGAGAGCTATTGGTGTACCTACCTTAATACAGTGCCTAACAATACCTCAGTCTGCTCTCCTCCATTACTGTGGAGCTCTGAAGAGAGGGAAAGGCTATTAGGAGCTGAAACAGGATTATATCATCTGGTTGATAGTGACATGAAAAGATTAAGAAATGATTATTGTACAATAATAAAGCCGTTTATGGAGACGCATTTGCCTCGTGTTAAAATTAGCGAAGAAAAAGTAATTGAAAGTTAGCAATTATGACTAATTTGTTGTTGCTATTATTGACATTTTTAGTTGCTTCCTTTATAATGTCATATAGTTTTACTGACCCATATAGCAATGACGTGCTGTCTGAGACCATGATGATACCTTTTGTTGATTTGTTAAATCATAACCATTGTCATCATGCTGAGCTCAAGTTTGGTAATAAAGTACTGAAACTTATTGCTACACGTTCTATCAATCCAGTTAGTGGTCATCATAATAATAATCTCCTACTATACATGCTGGTACATTATAATAGGGAGAAGAAATAATGAATACATTTGGTACTTCTCTACCAAATTATAGTCTACTCCACACTCATGGGTTTATTGATTTGAATAATCCAGTGGATAAGGTACACGTATATACATGCACAACTCTCTCTCCTCCTCCACTTTCTCTCTCTCTCTTTCATTCTCTTTTTCTTTATCAGGTATGTATTCCATTAAATTCTTTAAAAAGAGCATTTTTCATGAAAGGCGCTAACTGGAAAAGGAAGATATGGTCAGAACTAATAGATAAGGTTAGTAAATAAATAGAATTGATAAATAATAATGACAATGATTGATAACTTTCAAGGATGAATTTGATGAGATATATGAAGTTGATTCGAATGGAATTCCTGATCCTAGTTTATTAAAGATTATTAAAGTTAGTACTAATTGTCTCATTTACATGTTAATTATTATTATTCTATTAATAGTTATTATGCAGTAGAGGGACGTCATTAGAATTAAGAAAAAGAATGCAAAGCAAATTATTACAAAAGTAATAAATGCACATTAATGTCCCATCCTCAGTATCTATCATTAATAGATACATTAAAAGGTGTTTAGCTAATATACCGGTGGTTTTTGCTAAGGAGCCATCATTGAAAGAAGAGTATGTTATGAAACTACACCAGCAGCTTAATGAATATTTGAATAAATTATTATTAACATCATTTATAATGTAATATTTTTCAATAATAAATAATACTACAATCACTCAATAATAATAATAATTGGTTATTATTTTCTAAGCAAAGGGTGAGAGAGCGAGAGAGAGAGCAAAAGGTATAATACTCAGCAGTTTCATTTATTGTTTTTGCTCTAATTTTCTTTTCAATGATTCTGGCATCTCGGGTGGAGGAGGGCGTGGCAGACGGAAATAGACTTTAACCGAATCATAGATGAACCACTGCAGAGCAGTCAATGTACCAATCATAAGTATCCTGGGGCCCAAGCCCTTCCATAACCCTAAAGATAAGAAAAATAATTATTACATACATGTACCTCACGTACATGTATTATTATGTACACGTAATAAGGAATATAATGTTATTATTACATTTACATGTACATAAAGGTTTATTATGACCCACCTCTCATTCCTAGATCCCTAGCAGCCTGAATAGCAGTGCTACCAACGTCAGAGTTAAGTTTGGAGACGACAGTGTCAGCAGGATGACTAACAACAGCACAGAATACACCAGCAATGTATCCTCCTATAAATGTAACCACCAACTGCTTTGGCTTACTCAACTGGTCTCTATATAAGTACAAATGATGGAGAGCACACTGTCATTATCAGTCCTTACCTTGGTACAGGTACTACGTGTTTGTATAGGAACTCTATGGTTCTTTCAAAGGCAGCAAACTTCATCATTGTGTATGGAATCTGTCTCAACCATAATGGGGGCAGTCCCTTATAAAACCTGTGGAATCAATAATAATAGTATAACACATGTAATGAGATATAGTCTCTCTCTTTCATACTATTACTGTAATGTTATGGAACTATAGATGGTGCATGGAGAAGCTCGCATACATGTATTACTGTAATGTCACAGAAGCTCATAGATTAAACTAACAATGGCCATATAATGTTCTATAAAGGTATAAGCAGTGCAGGTGCCCCAAATTGCTCAGGCATGATGTAGTCACATTTACATAATTATTAACATTATTATTTCGTACCCAGAAAGTCCTTCCTGTGCATATAATTTAGGTACGCCTTCTCTAAGAGTGTTGGCCCAGCCTGGCTGTGTCTGTATGCGGACTTTAACTGCCTCCATTGGAGATAAAGCAATGTCAGCAAAGAACTCAGCACTAGCACTGGCAGCAAGATACAAACTGGTACGATATAAATAAGTCCTCTCCTACAAATAATAATAATCAATAATGATATTGATTTCATGATATTACTTCTCCCAAAAGGTTTCCGTAGAATATTTTAAATACTTCGTAGAACCCAAACTTGCACAATCCTTGCATAGAATAGCCGATAAATGTGGGAGCCCAGCCTTTGGCGAGTCCCCTGAACCCGTCTTCTTTAATCGTGACTTTAAAGCCATTGAATATATTACCATACTTTGCAGGGTCAACCTATTAGGGAGAGAAAGGGAGAGGGGGAGAACAATGGAGTGAGAATGTTCTCAGTTACATTGTATAGTATTATGCTCACTTGTATTCTACATTTCACTAAATCCAGTGGTACTACGACCGTGTGGGTTATTCCACAGCTCAATATCCCTCCAAACCCACACAAAGCGTAATACTTCGCAGAACCAAATTCACAACTGTATTGGTCAGAAGGAGCTGCTGCAGAGAAGTTTCTCTTGGTTGGTGGGACACCAAAAGGATTTCTGGAGGCTATGTCGCGAATACTAGACATTTTCCTATCTAAATACTGAGAATAAACTCTCTAAAGAAGGAGAAAGAGAAGGAACCAAAGCTCGAAAATGAGAGATCTCAGTTTCCGGGCAACAAGAGAAACGCCTACTTATTCTGCGCATGCGCAGACTCTTTTGTCGCCCACGCAGTAGGTGTTAAACCACACCCACGTCAAAATGGCTAAGGTTCTTGATAAGTTGAAAAAGTCAGAGCAGGAATTGCACAGTTCTTCCTTCATTAAAGGTAAAGAGAGAGAGGGAAAAGAAGAAATAGACTTCAAAATTTCCTTTTTGAGCAGCTCAACATGCTCCGCCTGTCAGCAATGCTAAAATATGCATAGCCCTGGTTGGATTGCCTGCTCGTGGAAAGACCTACATAGCCAGGAAACTGGCTAGATATCTTAACTGGATTGGCGTAAATACTAAAGGTGAAGATATAACTTAGACCTTGGCTTGTTTTGATGTTATTTTTTAGTTTTCAATGTTGGTGAATACAGGAGAAATGCTGTTGGGGCCGAGAAAACTTTTGAGTTTTTTCATCCTGATAATAAAGAGGCCACGGAAGCAAGGAGGTAGCAAAGTTTATCGTTGTCATTTCCTTGTTTATTTTTTGTTTTTTTTTTTACAGAAAATGTGCGATTGCCGCTTTGCAGGATGTTCAGAAATTTCTTGAAGAGGGTGGAGATGCAGCTGTACGTGTACATGCACATTACATAACATTAAATTTACCTACATGTATCTGTTTTTGTCTCTATCTCTCCCTCCTCTCTCTCTTTTAAGGTATTTGATGCCACTAACAGTACTAAGGAAAGACGACAACTTATCATTGATCATTGTCAGCCCCATTCTATTAAAGTAAGTACATGTACACAACACATCTCATCTATTTCTTTTCTTCCCTTTCTTTTTATAGGTATTTTTCATTGAATCTATATGTGATGATCCAGAACTTGTTGATGAAAATATAAAAGTGATCTTTATCCGTTAATCCTCTCCTTCTCATTTCTCTCTCCATCTTTCTTTAGGCAGTGAAGTTGTCTTCTCCTGATTATTCTGACCGTGCTACTGATGAAGCCATTGAAGATTTCAAGAAAAGAATTGAAGTCTATAAACTAGCATATTGCTCACTGGACAAAGATGAGGACAAGTAAGGAATGAGTATTAGTATTGACCATGGTAACATACACCGTATGAGTACAAATATTTACAGTGTTAAATTTTCACCATTTTGGAGAAATATCAAATTTACTGTGTTTTAATTTTACGTTTTCATCATTATAAGAAATTTTGCTGGGTTAAATTTTTATGAATTAATGGCAGATTGTGAAAATAGTGAAAATTAATTCCCCACGAAATTTTGTACCCATACGGTATAATGTCACCCGGCCCTGTCAATTATAGGGAGTTAAGTTGGGTCAAGATATTTAATGTGAAGCAGCGATATGAGGCTAATCAGATTGAAGGTATTATTAGATTAATTAATGATAAGTTACTGATAAGGGATTAGGTCATTTGCAAGCTAGATTGGTTTACTATCTCATGAATATTCATATAAGACCACGCTCAATCTATTTGTGTCGAGTAAGCTTTTGATTAGCCATGCCCATACTAACCACACCCTTTTTACAGCATGGAGAGAGTATATGTAACATGTATGGTCGGATTGGCGGAGACTCCGAGCTATCAGAAAGAGGGTTTGAGGTAAGAGAGAAGAGAAGGACACTCTACTTTAATCTTTTTTATAGTTTGCAAGAAAACTAAGTGAATATATTAGTACGCAAGACTTGCCTGGACTTAAGGTATTTATTTTAATTATTTAGTATTTGTTTTATCTTAGTTATTTTAGATATGGACGAGTCAGTTAAAGAGAACAAAGCAAACAGCTGAACTGTTGGATGGACCAAAGGAGCAATGGAGGGCATTGAATGAGCTTGATGTGGTAAGAATCACCTCTCTCTCTCTCTCTCTCTCTCTCTCTCTCTCTCTCTCTCTCTCTCTCTCTCTCTCTCTCTCTCTCTCTCTCTCTCTCTCTCTCTCCTGTCACTTATGAAATCTTTTCTCATTCTCCTCTCCTTTATTGTTCATGGTATATGTGATGTATATATATATATATATATATATATATATATACATGTATAATCTCATAGGGTGATTGTGAAGCTTTATCATATGAGCAGATTCAAGAAAAATTTCCTAGAGAGTTTGCACTCAGGGATCAAGATAAGTACAGATACAGGTATCCACGTGGTGAGTCTTATGAGGATCTTGTGCACAGGCTGGAACCAGTTATCATGGTATGGGATCGTGGATGTTATTGAAGCATGGAATTATGGGAATGGAATTTTTTTAGGAACTGGAAAGGCAAGATAATGTATTGGTTATATGCCATCAGGTAAATGTCTTAAAATAAGAAAAATTGTAATCAATTTAATACACAATAGGCTGTTTCAAGATGCATTTTGGCATATTTTCTTGATAAATCCAATGGTAAGCATTATTATGGCATAGTATATATTTAGTTGTTGTTACTATTTTTAGAGGAACTTCCTTACATCAGAGTTCCACTGCATTCTATTATAAAGCTGACACCTGTTGCTTATGGTAAATGTGAATGACCAGTTGTACTCATATCTTCCTCCCTCAGGTTGTAAAGTGGAAAGTCATAAAATTGATGTTCCATGTGTTGATACTTATCGTGGAAAACCAGAGGTATCAACAAGTAACATATCATCCTCTTAAGCCCTTCCCTCCCTCTCTCCTCTTGCGTGACAACTATCATATGAACTTACCTACTTATTTATTATTATTTATTGTAAAATATCATGTATCATTATTATCAAGATACTTTTAGTGCAGTGAACATGAGAATGTCATTAAAGAGCCATTTGATTTTTTGGGTATTTCTCTAACTCTTCTCTCTCTTTCTTGTAGAACTTAGAGCTGACTAGATCAGGTAAAGAGGCCCTGGGTACTGTTCCACAGCACTTTGATGACACTATATGAGAGGGAAAGGGGCAGGAGATTTCTTCTCCTATGCTGCACTCCATTATACATGAATTTTTTAATCCATTTTTAATTGATTTTTAGTCTTCAGAGCTGTTGATTTGTTTGTATGATAGCAGCAAAATTTTAATTATTCATAATTAATGCGTGGGTGTTGTCTTAATTAATTAACTAAGAAGGAGGGGCTCACAATATTAAGAACAAAAGGTATACTATGATGTTCAAATTCTTTCTTATAATAACGGGGCTTTTATCTATATTCCTTATCTCTAAGAAGAGAGAGGTCAATATGGCGTCAAATGATCCTTGCACTCTCTCTAATCATAACCAAGTGACTGTGAGCCACTGGCATCTCTCAATCTCTCCTCCTAACTTTGAGGCAAAAATACTAACAGGAAAAATAAGAATAAATGCAAGAGTGATATCTGACAATGCTACTCAGCTGGTAATGTACAGTATTTAAATTTTTAAATTTATTTTACATTTTTCTGTTTTTTTTTCAGATTCTAGATACTCGTGATTTGACTATCGTTAATGTCATCGATGGTTTGACTGGTCTAACTTTATCGTTCAAATTAGGATCAGTTTACGAAAAGTGTCCAGCATTTGGTTCACCATTAATTATTGATTTACCATCTGATCAGACATCACAGTAATACATGTACTATATACCCTGTCATTATTTAATATTATTTTATAGTGGGTCAACTCCTATGATCATTATTGATTATACCACGTCACCAGAGAGCTCTGCTGTTCAGTGGTTGGAACCAGCTCAGACAGCTGGTAAACAGTATCCATATCTATTTACGCAATGTCAGGTGATTCTACTAGTATACTCTTGTATATTGTTGTATATCTTTGTATATTTTTAGGCGATACATTGTCGTAGCTTGTTGCCTGTTCAAGACACACCTTCTGTTAAGAGTACTTATTCTGCTGACGTAATCAATTGTTGTTGTTGTTGTTGTTGACTTGTTGTTTTTGTTGTTGTTACTAATACTCTTGCTAATAGGTAACTGTCCCAAAGGGTTTGACAGCTCTTATGAGTGCAGTGAGGGAAGGGGAAGGAACGGCTGTTGGAGAATTTATTACTTTTAAATTTGAACAAAAAGTAAAGTTATATATGCATGTACTAAAATATATGTACTAAAATGTACAAAAATATTTTTTCTTCATTTAGGTGCCCATTCCATCATATTTAACTGCACTTGTTATCGGAGCATTGGAATCAAGGTAGAGTCAATGAATATTAATGAGCTATGAATATTAATGAGTCTACAGGAGGATCGGTCCAAGATCTCATGTTTGGAGCGAAAAAGAAATTGTTGATAAAGCAGCATTTGAATTCTCTCAAGTACTTAATTAATTATTATTAATTTTGCAATAATTATTAATTGATTAGACAGAGGATATGTTAAAAGCAGCTGAATCCATAGCTGGCCCTTATCTCTGGGGAGTTTATGATTTGTTGGTGTTGCCTCCTTCATTCCCTTATGGAGGAATGGAGAATCCTTGCTTAACGTTTGTAACACCCACACTATTAGTAAGTGACTGGTATATGTACATTTTTATTTTATTTTATATTTTAATAGGCTGGAGATAAGTCTCTTGCTAATGTAAGTTATTATTATTATCATTATTATTATTGTTGATGTTATTGTTTTTGTTGTTGTTGTCATGTCTTAAGGTTGTTGCTCATGAGATATCACATAGCTGGACTGGTAATCTTGTGACTAACAAGAACTGGGAACACTTTTGGTTAGTCAATTATTTTCCCATCATTTCTATTCACAGCTGCTGTTTGTACTTCCTTGGCTGTTCATACAATGTAGGCTTAACGAAGGATTTACTCGCTATTTAGAGAGCCTTATTGTAGCAGCTGTTTGGGGAGAGAAGGAGAGACACCTTCAACAAATGCGTTAGTTATTGTTAACAAACACTAATTATTTATGTTCATGCAGTTGGTTGGAAAAGTCTTCAAGATTCAGTAAGTATATATATATTTCTATTATAGTCATACTTTCTTATTAATAATAACAGGTTGATAAGTTTGGTCCTACTAATCCATTGACATCTCTAGTGCCAACACTGAGTGACATTGATCCTGATGATGCTTTCTCTTCAGTTCCTTATGAAAAAGGATTTGCATTGTTGTATCTTTTAGAAACTATTGTAGGACTTGATAGTAAGAGATGGAGAGAGAGAGTAATAGTAATTTTGCTAAAGTTGCTCAAAAATTTGGCAAAAGATGGTGTACTATAGTACAGGGTATTTAATCAAAAATGGTAACAAAAGAATTTTCTATTTTTCTTGATACATATACATGTACTTATGTTATTTAGAAAGTTTGAGCTAATTCTGATCAAATTTGGATTTTTTTACAAATTTTTAAAGCTGCTCCAAAATTGGACCAAAGTCTCTGTACTATAGTACAGAGTATTTTATCAGAAATTGCTGTAAGGGAATTTTACATTTTCTGCTGCATATACATATCACTATTACTTTAATATGACTGATCTCTTGTTTGATTGTTAGAGATGAAAGGATATCTTCGATCACATGTTGAAAATTTCAAATATAAAACCATCGACAGCAACGAATGGAAGGAATTCTTTTTGCAACATTTCGAAAAAGAAGTAAGCAAGTTATAATAATGATGATGACCATGACAATTTTAATTAGAATGATGATGGATTGTTTGCTAGTATTGATTGGGATAAATGGTTTTATAGCCCTGGTATGCCACCATACCAACCACAGTAAGAAATCACATGATAGTCACATGATATTCTCATGATAGTCACATGACAATCACATGATAATCACATGTTCATTGTAGGTATGATGTGAGTGCGTCTAGTGCATGTAGTTCATTGGCTGAAAGGTGGAGTCAATGTAATGATGACACAGAATTTACTGCTAATGAGTTTGAGGCATTGTCATCAACTCAAGGTCAAGAATTCCTTAATCAATTACTAAACAAAGTAATGATGTAAATAATAGAGTATTAGTGATATGTTATATAATGTTTTATTTGTTGTTGGTATAGCCTCCATTGTCAGTTAATGTGCTCAAGAAATTGGAGACAGTTTATAAAATGAAAGAAAGAGCAAATTCTGAAATAAGATTTAGGTTAGTAATTTTAGTATCTAACAATACATATAGATTTAGGTTAGTATCTAACAATACATATACTGTATTATTTCTTCTCTTCTTTCTCTCTCTCTCTAATGTCAGATGGCTTAGATTAGCATTGAAAGGGAAGTATGTAGATGTGTATCCACATGTTGTTCAGTTCTTGCTAGAGCAGGGAAGAATGAAGTTCGTGAGACCACTATACAGGTATCTATAGACCATGTACACTTATTATCAGGGCTGACAACTTTGGAGCCATCTCTTGAATTATTGAATAAATTTTTATTAGTATCTGAAAAACGTCATAGATTTTGGCTTTGAAAAGACCTAATTTTTATTACATTTTTTATATCACAGGCAACTTTTTTATTCCTTTTGATAGAGAACTGTATAACTGTGACGGTGATGGAAAGAAGTTGGCCATGGATACTTTTATTGCTAATAAAGGAATATATCATGGAATAGCTTCAACCATGATTGCTAAGGACCTTGGCGTTAATTAATATACATGTAATATTATCTTTTATTTTGATCAAAGACATTAATTATTTGTTGATGTGTAGTGTGGCAAATTAATTAATAATCAACTGTAATTAATATATTTGTTGTTGTTGTTGTTGCTTATTTCCATGGCTTTATAGTTGACTGGGATGTTGTTGAATGTCTTGAAGATATCACTGAGCCTCTACTGCTGCCCCTTGTAGAACCAGTGGCTACAGCTAATAAGGAATAGCATACATAGCAATAATAGCAATCACTAATAGTAGCTTACATGCTAGCAAAACATCATCTAGCCTCCTTTGTATGCAGAGAAGATCTGTATAAAATAAAGTAAGTATAAAATTTTTTATATTTTTGCCTAAATTCATGCATGACTATTGCAATTTTTTGACATTAAATGATAGAGTACCATCATTAGAGAAGGAATCCCTCAATACAGTGTCAGTGGTAGCAGTTGTAGGAACAATGTCTATACTGCTCCTTGAAGTTGATGACTTCCTATGTCCACCAACGGAAGGAAGGGGAGGAGAAGGAAGACATGATTTTGGAACAACACCAGTCAAAAAACCATCAGGGAATGTCTTGTATAGAACCTTCATACCTAGTAACAATATAATTGAATTAATAATGCATCAATCTCTCTCTCTCTCTTACCTCCTGAGAGCATAAATACATTGTCAAAGTCACGCTGAGAGAGTTTAGTAGCCACATCAGGAGCAATAGTCTCATCTTCATCATAAAGGATAATAATACAACCGGATCTGTTCTTCTATAAGTACAGTTGGTTAAAGAAATACTAATGATACAGCATAATGATTTGAAATATAGAAAAAGAGAGAGGATGAGGATACATAGTGGTACATCTCTTTAGTATAAGGATTACGTGACCTTGATAACATGCACAAAGGATAACTCTGAGCTATAATAGAAAAGAATTAATGCAATGATTATGATAATAAATAACTTATTATACCAGTTATTATATGACATTGCTGGTATTTTTCAGTATCTCTGACATCAAGAAGTAAATACGGTATCTCTTGGGAGTCATCTTTACCAGGAGAAGATTGATACAGCTGCTGCTGGTGGAATGGTGAGCCATTCGACTGTGTAGATGATGAGCTAATGTCTAACTCACCAACCCCAGACACCAACCTGATGTAGAGAGAGGAGAGCTAAGGAGATCACGCTATAATTACTAACTCTGATAATGTTGATCTTGCAGTTGAAGGCGGAGATGGATAAGTTGGTAGTGAATAGCTATAACTTTCCTCTCCATCTTCTTCTTCTTCCACTTCTTCCTCCTCCTCTTCCTCTCTCACTGATGCAACTTGTAACACCTGCAAAGGCCAAGAGTGTGGACATCACAATTTGTTATTTCTCACATATCTATGGAATGCATTTGAACTCACAAGTTGAGCAAATGTTGTTGGTTTGAGCCTACGAAATATCTCGTCTTTCTTAAACTTGTAATCTACCATGCAATTTGCAAAATCACAAAGTATTAACAATTTATTATAATTAATTATAGTTGAATACTTTTTCTTGTTTCTTCCAATTGTTCCAAGTATTTTCTCATACTTGAGCCTAGTAATGTATAATTTATTTCCCTCCTTAATTTATACAATACCAGAGTCAACGACTGGTTTAATGTGCTTGTATCTTGGGTTCTCTTTTATCCTTTTATTAAGAGGCTGCAGAGAGAAACTGCTACATAAAATACATAATTATTAATTTTATTTACGTCATTTTTTCCTTTTCCTCCTCCAAATGACATTCCTATATAATACATACAAATAGAAGCAGCAAAAATATTAAAAGTAATTTAAAAGAAACAACTTACCGGTACTTTCTTGTTTGTTGATTCCGCCTTTTATTAGCTCCACCCTAATCAAATAATCAAATGGGCGTGGTCATTGATTCAATTACCACGCCTATAAAAACGTGTCGACATGTGCAAGGGTTCTTGTCTAATCGTGTTTAATGGACGAAGCTATAAGTAATATACTCAAAAAACTGGATCCTGAGGAGCAATATAAACCATGTGGCCACGAGGAGGACCCGTCAAAGAAGAAGAGAAAGGTGGAGGGAGGAGGAAGTGCTAAGAAAAGTGGGGCTGGTTCTGTCCCTACCCCAAATGCTGCCACAGGGACAAGGAGGAAGAGAAACCTCACTCGTAAACAAGTGCACGACCTATTAGAGAAGTATGGGGTATGTGATGTTGATCTAGTCTGCCCCTGCCTTAAAGAGGGGATTCGTAAAGGACACATCCAGTTATCTCCCCATGACGGTTTAGATACAGTCGTAGTCACCGACACATGTTTAATGTGTGAAAACGAGATTATAGCAACAGTACATAATGTCTTATATCAAGGAGACATAGGGCTTGATTATGAGAGTGGAGTGCCTGATTCAAAGGTCCGCTGCAGTAACTGTGACAACTCCTGTGGCTATTATGTTGTTGATATGTGCACTGGCTACCCAAAAATTGATACAGGGAAGTCCTACAGTCATTGTACGTTTTGTAGTGCTTTTGGATGCTGTGTTGGGGACTTCAGATTAGCTCATTGCTCTACTTGCAATAGGCATTATTTTGCTGAAGGTGGTGCAGTCTGTTCTAATTGCTATCCTGCCTAACTACAACGATCTTTCTCCTCAAGTTTCATTGTGTGATTATTATTCTCATTTCACTTATACAATAACATCATTTTAATCTTTAATCAGCAAAATTGGCAAACTATATTATATGTAACTATTGATTTAGTAATTATTTTTATATTTTTATACTTAATAATTCAGTTATCATTCAGTTACTCTGTTTCTTTGGTGTATATTTTCAAACCGTCAATATTCAATAGACTGTAATCATGCTTCCCTCCATTGCTGAGGGCATTAGCAAGAAATGCAGTCATACGCTCAGCTGGAGTGATAGTACTCTTGACTGCATCAGTCTCTCTCATTGCAGCATCCCACTTAATGAGTAGTGGCACACTATCTACACTGTACAGTGTCTTTAATTCTACACAATGAAATGAACAAATGCAAATTTGATAGAGAACAGGCTTTTTGCTGTGTCCATGATAATAATTATTTGTAAGGATGAGCTCCACCAGCAACAAATTATTATAAATAAATTGTTGCTGGTGGAGCTCATCATTAAATGCAAATTTAGTCTCTCTAGTCATTGAGTAAGAGCTTAAATATTTTTTAGCTAAAGAGAGCTCTACCAATAACAAGACATGATAAAAGGGTCTTTCTTTCTAACCTGGTGCATGTGTAAATAGAGCAGGTAGTCTCTCAAACCAAGGCCATATCAGCAAATCAATAGCTGAGACGTTTTTGCCAAATATGAACGGGCCACCATTTTGAGCAATTAGCTCCTCAACTGATTTGAAGTACTTCTGTAGGAGCTTGGGAGTGTTTTCATCTTGAGCATTACGATAATACTTATAATAATTAGGAGTGAACTATAACAATAAAAATAAAAAATTATATAATAGTAATCTGATATTAATGTAAACGACTAACTCTATCACCAAAATCGCTTAGCAATAGTTTAGCTTGTGCTTTTTTATATGGATCAGTTGGCCACGAGTGACTATCACCAAAAACTTCATCAATGTATTCTATTGATATTAGGAACTTTAATACAATTGGATACTCAACTGTGTGTCTTACCAAAGGTCACCAATGATTCACGGATGAGATGTCCATTGTGCTCAATCGTTGGTACAAGACCATAAGGATTAATGTCATCAAGATACCACTGGGGCTTCTCCTTCAAATGAACGTTAATGATCTCATGTTTAACACCTTTGAATGCGGCAATGAGTCTGGCCCTCTAAATAACAATCACAATATAAATAATTAAAATACTATAATTACCTGAGCATAGGGGCAAATAGGATTGCTGTATATCCTTAGAGGAATATCAGCTCCTTTCTCTTCTGGTCTGGTCCTTATTAAAGACATTCTGTGATAAGATACAGCACACAACAATCTCCTATTCTCCTCACTATTTAAATAGTGGCTTGCTGAGTGTAGGCCACACCCAGTAAATGGGTGGGGCTGCCTCTGCAACTACAGCTACAGCTCAGCAGAGTTAGGAGAATGCTGCTAGTTGCTACAAGTCAGCAAATTAATTCATGTAAATTTAAATGCAACATGTATACACTCCACACACTTAGTAAAAATTTAATTATTGTTATTTATAATCTTGTTGCTTCAGTTTGCTGTCTTCTCCTTTGCTCCAATAATCCCAAATTCTCTGAAGCAGCTGACGGCCTCTCATTTGTAACTTTCTTTTTTGTTTTCTTCTTGTTTTTACGACGATAAGTCACTTGCAATAGTATTATTACTATAACTGGGAGAGTGAAGATAGAAATAATAATTTGAATTAAATAAGTGAGGCTTTACTTGTAAGAGCTACTCCTCCAACTACCCAGTACCAATTGTCTTTAATCCAATCAACAATGGAAGAGAAGGAAGGAATTAAATCCTAAAATCAACAACAAAATAATAATAATAACAAAAGCAATAATATTCAGTTACCGCTAGATCATCCAGTGGTATATTAGTGTCAACAAAGATGCACTCTCTAAATGAAAATTTAATTAATAATAGTATTAATTATAATTATGTTTAACCTATTATCATCACAGTATCCAGTAAAGTCTTTGCATGGGAAACCAGAAAGAATAGTAGCATTCACAACACCTAAAGTATACAGAAAGGATGTGGTTATTAGCTCAACCATAACCACATTTAAAAGTAATTATGTTCTTAGCAAACTAATAATTGTTTGGTGCTCAAGGTATTAAAAATTATTTTAGTCAATAACTTAGAAGCTTGTGATGTGTGGCTGTTTATTTACCTTGCCTATCAAAAGTTGAGGTACATTCTCCATCAAACATGCAACAAACGTCACACAACTAAATGAAATAAGTGATCATTCATAAATTATCATTATTATCATTTACTTTACTATCCTCAGTACAAAAGCAAGACGGGACATTATAACGAATACAAACAGACCCGGAGCAGACTCCATCAACGCAAACATTGTTATCATTATTACAGAAACTTGAATTGTCACGAGTTGGAGTTGGGCATGTCTCATTCAGACCAGTACACATCACAATAATGTTAAGGATAATAATAATAATAAATAATGAAGAATTAGAAAAGAGAAAGAGAGAGGAAGGTGGAAGAGGGTAAAAGAGGATATTTGCAGGTAGACTCTACCAAACATTCATCTCCTCTACTGCAAACAGTACCAACTGCTGATGGGGTACAATCACTAGTACAGCATGTATACTTATTTGGACTATATACAACAACAAAAATAACAACAAAAATAACAATAATAATAATACTCTCAATGATCCAATATGCTGTACCTGCAGGTAGCATTAGGTTCTAATAAACATTCCCCAATCCTGCAACAAGCATCATTCGATTTACATGTACTGTTTGATCCACAGTCACACTCTTCAGTCCCCTCGACAATGCCATTACCACACACTTGAAAGAATGGCTCTAAGTAATGATAAAATATCAATATAAATATGCATTAATAAAATATCAATATATTAATACACACAATCCTCCATCTCACCTAATATAAAGCAGTCTCCATTATTGACAATAGTCTTTCCCATTATATCCCGGCTACAGCTGGAGAATTGTTTATTATTTGGTAAGGTCCCATCAGTTGCAGTAGCATACATAATGTAGTTGCCTTGGCTACCACCAGGTGCACATGTTCCTTCTGGATCATGCTGTGTACATATGATATTACTAATCTCTTTCTTCATTGCTTACTGGTGATCCAAAGTTGTGTCCGATTTCATGAGCAGTTGTAATGACTGAGACTGCCTGAGGTAGTCTCCGACCAAATGTTATTAATGTAGTGAGACCAGTATTAAGACTAAAAAATACAATTAATATTCTTATGATATGCTGTAAGTTTGAGTCACAAGTTCTTGAAGTATACAAGTTAATACATTCATACATGCTTTAGGCAATGGTAGAGTTGGAGCTAATTTAGCTCAAACTTTCTAGACAGCATAAGGGCATCAATATATATCAAAAAATGTAATAAAATTAAGTGACTTTGGAGTCATTATTTTGAAAAAAAAACCATAAGCTAGGGCATTTTTCAAAATTTGCTAGTTTTTAAAAAGTGCTCATGACTCCAGAATTTGAGCTCAGAATTGGCTCAAACTTTTTGCGTAGTATAAGGACATCAATATGTATCAGAAAATGTAATAAAAATTTGGGGTGATTTTGCAGCCATTTTTGGAAAAACCATGGGCTATAGCCTTGGGTATTTTTCAAAATTTTGGCATTTCCTTAAAATAGCCATAACTTAAAAAATTGAAGTTAAAATCAGCTCAAACTTTCTACACAGCATAAAAACATTAATATGTATCAGAAAATGTAATAAAAATTTGGGGTGATTTTGGAGCCATTTTTTGGAAAAACCATGGGCTATAGCCTTGGGTATTTTTCAGAAATTTGGTGTTTTCTTACAATGGTCATAACTTGAAAAATTGAAGTAGGAATCAGCTCAAACTTTCTATACAGCATAAAAACATTAATAAGCAACAGAAAATGTAATAAAAATTTGGGGTGATTTCGGAGCCATTTTTTGGAAAATACCATAGGCTATATAGCCTTGGGTATTTTTCAGAAATTTGGTGTTTTCTTACAATGGTCGTAACTTGAAAAATTGAAGTAGGAATCAGCTCAAACTTTCTTCACAGCATAAAAACATTAATATGCATCAGAAAATGTAATAAAAATTTGGGGTGATTTTGGAGCCATTTTTTGGAAAAACCATGGGCTATAGCCTTGTGTATTTTTCAAAATTTTGGCATTTACTTAAAATAGCTGTAACTGGAAAATTGAAGTTAAAATCAGCTCAAACTTTCTACACAGCATAAAAACCTCAATATGCATGAAAAAATGTAATAAAATTTTGGGGTAATTTTGCAACCATTCCATTTTTTGGAAAAACCATGGGCTATAGCCTTGGGCGTTTTTCAAAATTTTGGCATTTCCTTAAAATAGCCATAACCTGAAAAATTGAAGTTGAAATCAGCTCAGACTTTCTACACAGCATAAAAACATTAATATGCATCAGAAAATCTAATAAAAATTTGGAGTGATTTTGCAGCCATTATTTCAAAAAAACCATGGGCTATATAGCCTTGCGTAGGTTTCAAAATTTTGGAATTTTCTTAAAATAGCTGTAACTGGAAAAATTGAAGTTCTCAGAATCAGCTCAAACTTTCTACACAACATAGCATAAAGATATCAATGTGTATCAAAAATAAAATAAAAATCAGGGGGGATAATTTGATAAAGAGACATAGAGAAAATTTTGCACTTTCTGTATCACTGTGCCTATACCAACACATGCTTCAGAAATGGCTGATCTATTTTAACAATTTTATGCAAAAAATTGCTTTTCAATGTTCAAAATTTGTTAATCAGCTAATACTGACTTTAGCTCTCCTCCAAATGTTTGAGTTCTCTCCTGACAAATTCCACCAGCCCGTCCTCCATCTAATATTAATTGATTAGTAATTAAACTATACATTATTTAATTAATATACCTGGATCTGCCACATATGCTAGTCCTATGGTACCAGAGAAATCAGAATAAGTAAAGAGATGGCCAAGACACACTGAATTAAAATCCTAATAATAATAATAATAACAATAATAATCATTATTATTTTATAATAGTAATAACATTTTGTGTCACTTACAAATGCTGCAAAATTTTGCAGTAATTCGTCCACTTGGAAATTTCCATACAATGGATTCTCAGATGGAGAATTAGATGCTATTACCTAATAAATCATATAATATTATTAGAATTACTGTTGATAATATCAAGAGTAGATCTACTGTTGATAATATCAAGAGTAGATCTACTGTTGATAATATCAAGAGTAGATCTACTCTTGATAGTATTCACTGACATCAGCAGCTGTAATAGCAAGCCCATAATTTGTTAAACTTTGATCTCCATTTTGAAAAGTAGTATCCCTTTAATGACAAATAAACAATAATCATTAAATCATTAACTACTAAAGGGGCATAAATACCTGTATATTATATTAGATTCAGTAATATGCAATGCCATTATTTCCAGAGTCTGGAGAGGAGGAGAAGAGATGAATCAATGCAACATAGACTTACTGTAGCTTCATCATTATCACCAACTTGACTGTAAAACTTATAATCAGCATAAACATGCATTGAACATGTATTCAATGCACCATCAGCTACAGGAATTAAAGAAAAACAATTAAAAGAATTTGCATTAGTAGACTCACATTGTCTCTTTCTCAATCTATTACTGAAGGAGCTAGAGTATCTAATGTGCTTGGCTGATTCCTATAAGCAACAATGCATGCCATTACTAAGACTAATAAACAATTACTTGAATTCTCAACAATTTATCACTTATTCCACAGGTAGTTGGATGAGTAAAGTTTACATCACTTGTTTTATAAACCACTACATTTTGACCATTCTTGAAATCCCTGTGCTCCTTAAAATGACTTAAAATGTAAAATAATTATAATAATGATTTTAATGTTCATTTATGCTTACTTTTTAATATGCTCTACATGGTAGGTCTCTCTATCACAGCAGTAATAATAATCATAATTAGTAGACTTTATCATTTACTTTTGACTGTGTATAATTCCTTCAAAATAATTGTCTTTTATTTTACCATGGACAATTGAATTATCTTCTCCTAAAAAAATTATGATATTAATATACAGTGACAAATTCTACTAATTACCAATAATGTGACCAATCACAATGTGCCGTGTATCCATTGCAACATGACGATGGACCCCATTCTCTTTATGCAACTTTAGTTTGAAATCAGTCGAGAAGAGATGCTGATTGGTTGTCATGTGCAGTCGAAAATTCCTGAAAAAGAAATTTCACACCTCCCCCTTTCTCTCTCTCCTTGCCTTCCATGAGCATTAAAGTTGAGATAAGCACTGATGTGCCTATCAGAAGTATCTATTATTGATGGTTGGACGGCTACAAACTCATAGTATTGGACATAATCCTCAAAGGATAAGATACCTACAGGGAGATCAAAGTGATATTAAATTATACTCGTCATAGCAATTTCATAACTTTAACCTGTAGAGAGTAAAGATAGGATTAACAGCGTAAAGTATCCGTTCATTTCTTTGCTTTTTTTGCCGAGCTTTTTTCTATGGCTTTTTCCTTTTTGCAGTCGTTGGCAGCCACACCCCACTAAGCTAACAAAATTACAAGCCCCGCCCTAGGAACAGCTCCACCCTTGCAAAATAGACACCAAGAAGGCAATCCCTGAGTGACGAGATCATCACTGACCCTGCCAAAACATGTACCGTTATCTTTATCTCTCCTGTCTTGCTGGTAATGTCTAACTTGTCAAGATATACTCCTACTTTCTTTCTTTAGTTGCCTTGCTATGCGTCTCAGGCCAGAATCCAGTAGAAGTAACATGCAGGCCACCTTGCTGCACTTGGATGGACAGAGAGTACGGTAACAGTAGTAGTGATCCTACTCCTAGAGGGTTCGTTCAAACTATTCTGCCCAATCCCGAGGACATGCTCAGTGATCCCTGCATTACAATAACTGCCCAAAACACCAATCAATACATTGAGATACTGGTAAGCCTTTCAGCCTTCCTACATTATGAGTTTTAATACTTTTGAACAGCTTGAAACAGTCAACTTAGGAGGAAACAGCAGAGTATGGTAAGGAAAGAAAGACAGTGAATAGTATTTACATTACCATATTGCTTTGTTTTTCTAGTGTTACTGTTAATGATAATCCTGAACCAGCCTGTGGAAATGTAAGACTTGTTTATTATCCAATGACAATGCATCCTGTCTATTTCTCTTTCAGGGTCAAGTTTCTTACTGCAATACCATACCTAGTGTTAACCTGACTGCTAGGATATTCTGTGATGATTCTTGTGATCTCTCTGCCACTAGCTTCTGGGTCCGTGTTAACCTCAGTGCACCTGTTGGTGAGTTTATTGATATACTGATGATTGATACTGATATAGATGATTGATACTGATTATATGATACTGATATTATTTTTAGATTTTGATGATGAGCACTGGTGTGATAGGAGGTTAGGTGATTATCCATCAGGATTGCTACAGGTGGTCACTCCCCCTGGAGTCACCAACCCAACTGAGCCTCCCAGTGCTGGTTCACTGGTCTCTCCGTCTTCTCTCCTCCTCTTCCTCCTTATGCTCATTGCCGTTAGCTTTTACGCTAAACTTTAATATATTTTTATTGCTATAATTATTGTTGCACTTTTAAAATTGTTTTTTATTTATGCTTTGTTTTTAGCCAGTGATTACATAATCTTGTGCATATATACATGCAGAGTATGCACGTATACATTACACAAATTTCCTTTACGCTTCTTTGTAAAGATGTTGTATGTTACTCCTTCACACTGACACCTTATTTGGCAGAGAGATATTTGTGCCATTGCCAAGTGCTAATGAGTCATGAGATGCCTGTGGTGTAGTCACTAAGTGCATGTGTATTCATTACAGGCTTGGGATTAGAAGTCTCATGAATATCATGATAGAATGATAAGGGAAGTATGTAAAAGGATACTGTGGGTAGTGACATATGACACATTGTTTCGACCAAATATAGATATTTCCTTTCCTGTGAAGAAAATAGAATAATAGATATTTCCTTTCTTGTAAAGAAAACAGTTCATTATTATCATAAATCATATGCGATATTTTAAATACAAAAATTTGGTGTGATTGTTATTATTATTATTATTGTTACTATCTATGATCGTGTAATCCAATAAAGTTTTCAAGTTCTGTGAAATGTTCTTTAACTAAAGGTAGTGAATGTCTCCTAATGTTACTGTATACATTACACTGGGAGAGAGAGAAAGAGAGAGAATTAGTTATTGCTACAATAGAAGAATGCAACACATTACCACACCTTGATGTACGTGTACAGACAAACAAACAAAACTACATGTAATTTACCAGAAACAGATTTGCCTAATTACATGTATAACTCCACTTACTGATGTTGACAGCATTGTTTCATTAATACGTGACATGCTCCGCCCTCTATAATAATTCCGACACTGACCATGCCCACTTTCTTCCTCCCACTGTTTCCTGTGTAGGGTGGAACTGATTGGAATCACATGACCTTCCGTTGTAAATAAATAATTTGCTGAATGCTTGTTGATGACATGATCTGTATCAAATAACTGCATGTAAGAGAGATAATTAATATTCCTGCATAACTGCTTTCATGAAGTATTAGTATTAGTATTAGTATTATTTCATAGTACTCATACCAGATATAAATATTTGCACATTTCACTAAGAAAGAAACTCTCCATTCTGTCTTCCTTCTCTTTAGTAATGACATCATGAAGAGTAGCATAACCACATCTACACAAAATGATAAGCAATTCCTCCTCTCTCTCTCACTCACTTGGCTTTCATGTGCTTGTTAATGCTGTTCAGGATATCAGTGCCAACATGTAAATAGAATGGATTATGGGTAGCCTGAATGAGTTAAGGAGATAGAAAGAGAGCTAGATGCAGGCTACAAGTCTACAATATACAGTAACTAGAAATTTTTTATGGCCCAAAATTTCTGTAAATATTGAAAAACTTAATCCCTACTCTTCTATTAAGCCACAGCAGGCAAAGTTACAAAAAAATTCTAGCTACATTTTGTATATACATGTAATATACACTAGGCTGACTTGATACAGTAAGTAGGTTGATTCTGCTAGTTCTGGTCTGAGTGGGTAGAATGATACAGATGGAGACTTTGCTTTCCAATCGTATCTCTCTGGGAGTGACTCATACTTCCTCCATAATGTATAATATAATGCGTGTGTACATATTGCTTCATCTAGGTCACCTGCTAATACCTAGAGATATTGGAATGTTATCATTCTTGGGCTGTGTGATTATATTATACTTGCAGTCCAGCAAAAGATGCTGAGAGAGAGTCAAACCAGAAGTTATACAATTTACCGGAATTATAGTTTACATTAACATACAGTGGACTCTGGAGCCACTTATCGTTAATAATAATATCTAAACAACTGCAGCTGTAGAGAGAGAGAGAGGGATGGAGGTTGAGGAGTAGGTTAAATAATCTTACCATCCTTTTCTCATGTATTTCATTATATTTTTGTAAAATTCAGTAAACATTTCCAAGTCTTCTCTTTCGCCAAACAATATAAACGACTAAAAATTAATCAAAAATAATGACGTAATGATAATAACAATAACAATAATTACTTTTAATAAATATTCGTAAAATGAATCAACTCCAGCACCAATCCCACTCATAGGCCCAATCCAATCGCCACTATGAATATTAACGACATTACCTAAAAACCACACCTCTTCATTAATATTCATAGACACCAATAATTACCCACTAGACCGGTCCGAGGGTGTCTAAGGTCCCAGAGAGTTCTCACTGCTCTCCTAGCAAGGTTCTCGTAGATGGGATCACCGACAAGCCTGCTCAATATTGAAAACTCTAATATCAAAGAGCCAGCGCCAGCTGTACATGTTTCTGGTACGCCACCGGAAGGGACTCCATGACACAAATTAACCTATCATTATTTTAATTATTCATTGATTATTATTTATTTACAATGCCACTCTATATAATGGACACTTATTAACAAGAAAGTTGCTCTGTTATACAGAGGTGCCCTTTATGTGGAGGTTATTTTATACAGTAAGGAATGTTAATTGGTACACTAGGTGCTGTCTGTTAAATGGAGGTGTACACTATAGAGTGTCCATTAGAAGAGCCTACATATTGTGTTTATGTATTTATTTATTTCTTACTCGTGGGTGTGGTAGCCCAGTTGCAGTGTTTTCAAAAGCTGGTAGAAGTCTCTCCGCAAGATCATGAGCTACATGCAGTAACTCATCACTGTAATGGAGTGGTCTGAAATCTCCTAATCTCTTATCAGCCTCAGTGATTATTAGGTGAGACGATAATAGCGAACCAATTACTCTAATATATTATTAATTATATGTAAATATTGCCTTAACATCATTGTATGCTCTATACTAATTTAGCATGAGCTGTACGGATAATAATATCACTAATAAATTTATAATATTTAAATGATAATAATCAAGCAAAGTAATTGCAATAACATTGCTAAGAAATTATTATGATATTTAAGAAAAATGCTAAAATCAAGCCAAATGCAAATGTACTGTATAACTAGAAATTTTTGTGACTCAAAATTTCGGTTAATTTTGTGGATTAAAAAAAATTACAGAAATTTAATCCTCAAAAATTTTGGTACACAATTTATTGGCCTATTTATATTAAAAGGCATGGTGAATTCACAAAAATAAAATCTACAAAAGCCATTTTGATGGCAATTCACAAAATTTCAGGCCACAGATATTTCTATCTATATGGAATTAATAACTCTATAAACTAGTACACACTAAAGGCACATCTCTTTACCTTATGTTAGCTTCAAATACTTGTACAGTGGGGCAATGGTCAAAGGTTATGTTATGGGATATGTATTCAACAGCTTCCATGAACCGCTCGGAATCACCCATTACCTATTGGTGGGTGGGGCAATGGTTACCATAGTAACAGTCATAGTCTTACCACTAGAGTGCTGAGGGCATCAATTAGAGTAAGGGAATAATCACCCAAAGCATCGTTAATGTTGATATTAGAACTAAATAAATAAAATATTCAAATTTTACAACATTTTGAGATGGTTCTACTCAGAAATGGACTTTCTTCAAAATTCGGCCAAAGACCATGGACATTTTTGCTTGTTACAAATTTCGTGACAATGGAACTAATGGTTTTTGCTTGTCACGGATTTCGTGACAATGGAACTAATGGTTTTTACTTATCATGAATTTCGTGACAATGGAACTAATGGTTTTTACTTGTCACAAATTTTGTGACAATGCAACAAATGGGTTTTTGCTTGTCACGGATTTTGTGACAATGGAACTGTGTAGAAAATTTGAGCTGATTCTGATCAAAATTGTTTTTTTTACAAATTTATTAGTTGCTCAAAAATTGGCTGTGGTCTTTGGCAAAATTTTGCCAAAAATGAAAAGGAGAGAATTCTCCATTTAAAAAAAATTTTCAGATACATGTAATTTATATACAATAGTGTGTTGGTGTTGTTCATTAACTAACGGGTCATTCCAGTCGTGGCCACGCCCACTACAATGTATCGGATCCAGTTCATCGTGAGGGAAGGCGTGTCTCATGTAATTATTGTACCCGTGATAAAACATTGCACGAGTTTCGTTGATCATTCTTAATCTCTCAGACTCTGGAAAAGACTTGTGAACTGAAAAAATAATAACAACAGCAAATATAACAATTAAAATGTACACTATGCAATAATGGAATAAGAAATTCCCTTATAATTATTGCTACTTGTTACCTATAGACGTCATTTGAACGTAGTATGACGTATTCCTGTTAGTTCTTACTGGCTGATAGTCGAACAGCATGTAAAGATGGGGTAGTATGCTCCATAGAGAGTTCATTGTTACTATCAGTAGGCACAATAAATCCCTACACCTTAACTCCATTAGCCACACCTCCAATTTCAGCCACGCCCAATCCCAGCCCCACCTAATTTTTTATGCAAAAAAAATAAAATTATTTTTTATTATTAAGTGATAAATGCCTATTGTTTGATTGTATTAATCATTTTCTGTGAGAGAGAGGGAAGTATTTTGTTCCATTAAACTTTGCTTGACTAGATATTGTATTTGCTCATCTGATAATGAAATAATTTCCTATAAAAATTGATGCCAACAGCTCAATAATAATGTAATATACTCTCTTCTCTCTCTCTTTTACCTCTTCTGTTTCTTTGTCTTGCACCTTGTTTTTCATACTTTCTAACTGTTTCTCAATCTCAGCTAATCTGCTCAACTCTGACCTGGTCTCATGCAACTCAAGCAAAATCTTATCCCCATAAGACATCTATCAAAACCATTAGAGTGCATTATAATTATCAACAAACTTACCTTCTTCAATAAAGATTCATCATTCTCTTCTACTTTTGAAGACATTGCTGGTACTAAACTGCCTAACTTACTAATAGCAAGAGTAACATAATTTGAGGTGAATAATTAGTGTAATATTTCAATGTACTACTTGTCTATTTCATCAAGAGCTTTGAGGTCTTTCATTGAGTAAGTATATCCTAATTCTTCCTCTTTCTCTTCTCCCTCCTCCTCCTCCTCCTCTAGTCCTTCTCTCTCCCTTCCTTCTTCTTCCTCCTCCAGTAGTTTCTCCAAGTGTTTCTTCTCTTCTTCAGTCATAGCTAAAACCTCAGATGCCTGACCAGCCAACTATAGCAATGAAATAATAATCATTTATTTCATTGTTACAAGTGACCTCTTTATTTCTGGATATGAATCTTGGCAATGGTTGCTTCTGATGCTTTCCATCTGGTGTTGTTTGAGTCTCAGACTCTGGTTCCTGTTCCATGGTATGGGTATCAGTCTCGACCTCAATGCACTCCACTCTTAAATCATCTAATAGTAACAATAATAATAATAGAAATAAAGAAAAGACTGACCTTTTTCTTGTGGCTGTGTTTCAAACAATGGTGGTATGACATTACTATTAATATTATTTGTTCCTCCATCACTGCCTTCAAGTGAAAGCCTCTGTCTCTTTACATCTCTCTCCCTCTAAAAATAATGAAAAAATAAATTAATGAATAAAAATGATAAAATCTTACTTTAGCCAGTTCGGCAAGTCTGCTGTCTAATCGCTTCATTTTAGTTATTGCTCTCTTTATTTTTGCAGCCATTTCGTCTTCTTCTCTCTCAGCAGCTTCCCTTTCATTAGCAAGATATTCATTAGAAATAGGTGATGGAAGAGAAGTAGAGATAGGGACTTTAACACTGTTGTTTTGTTTTTCTGCAATCTCCCTGTTAACCGTATCAGCAAGATCATGTAATCTTTTATAAAAATCGTCAGGCGATGTGAATATTATATCAGCCATGCTTCCTTCCAGACTATTATCGTCATCACGGTCATCACCAGTTGAGCCTTCTTGACGAAAAGGAACTAAAATAATATTAATAATTTCTATTTTGTGATTACAATAAATTACGATCTGGAGTCAGTCTTTCCAATTGAGACCTCCTTTCAGACTATATAAAATATTAATAACAGTAACATTCAAGTTTAAAAATTACTTTTCCTGTCCTTTCTCTGCTTGGTTCATACATTTCAATGCTATTTTTAAATTAGCAATAAATTTTCAATTATTTAAAAATGTTATTTCACCTTCCTTTATCTAGCAGCTCCATCTTGTTGTGAGGCAAGTCTCCTTTTCCCTCCTCTCCCTCTGACGCCATTTTATAAGGTAGGCGTGACTTAGATCTAAGTGGGCGTGTCTAATAAACAAAAATGGCCGCAATAAGAGAAGTCAGTAAGGCATGGCGTCCAATATCACTCCTTCCAAGATCCTTTGGTAATGGAGTTAGGCCCTATTCAACAGGAGGAGGAGAACCGCCTAATGGCTTTCTTTTCAATGAAAAAGTAAAGAAAAGAAAGAAAATATAATAAATAATTTATTTATTATTTTTGTGTAGCCATTGCTGCCTGGAGAAAAGAGAAAATGGGAGAGTTGGGAGAAGCCCTGGTATATTGGTATGGGCCTCAACTTTTTGTTGGTGTTAGGGATATGCATATGGAAACCAAACACTAGGTAAACAGACTAATCAATGGATGACCAATAAACAGCTCACACCTCCAGTGTGGCGTAGTAATATTTATAATTAGTTGACATTCTTGCATATAAATAAATGCCATAGTATTCATCACCTGGTAATCTCAATGTTTTGTTTATTAGTGTTAGTTCTTGGGGTCATCAGAAAGCATTGCAAAGATTAGAAGGAGATAGCACTTCGGAGAGCACGGAATAAAGCAAGTAGAATTAATAACCATCAATAACTATTAGTAATTATTAATAACCAATAGTATCTCATTGTTATAAAAATGATAATAATAATAATAAAAATATTAAAACATGAACCAGTATAGGTATTGACTGTCATACTCTTGAAGCTGAGAGGGTTAGTGGTATTACTTTACTTCGTTCCTCTTCTTCTTGATATCGCTCCAGCTTTTGACTGATGTCGAGTTTCTGTTTTATAGCTCTTTGGAGATAAACATCCAACAACTTGGCTTCACTTCTTAGCCGATTGCTCTCACTCTTTGCCTCATCAATCTTTCTCTTTAATTTGCTTATTTCACCGAGATATTCCTGACATCTTTTAGACGTGAGAGCACAAAGACTTGTCTGATCGTCCCTTTCTTTCCGAAGTGTCTTTAACTTATTCTTAAACTGATTGATCTCAGCTTCATGGCTCCTAGCTTGCCCCTCTAGCTTGCTCTTTAAGCTACTAACAGTGACCTCACCTGTAGTCTGCCTTGCTTTCATTATGGTTCGTAGTTGGGTTACCTCTTCAGTCCTATTGGCTAGTTTAGCTCTTAGTTTATTTATAATGACTTCCATCTCTTTGCTATCATCAGTTTTATCGCCCTCACTGTTGCTTGAAGGGCCTTTCCGTGGAGACTGAAAAGGACTGTTAACCACGCTTCCCATTCCCTCGGCAATCCCATTCCCATGAATACCCTTTCCATTAGCTAGCAGTGGCTGTTCTGTTGATTGCTTCAGACTATGTTGTAACATGTTCTTAGTGAATGATTCTAGTGGTGACCACATTGATTGTAATAGATCCTTCAGTTGAATGACTTCAGTTAGACACTGACTCTCTCTATTTATTGCAATAGATTTACTCTTTTCTTCAACTCCTTGACCTATTATTATAGTATATCCCTCCTCACTGGTTCTGCTGTTTTCTGTAGTACCTGTCCTTGCATTGGGTAGCTGTTGTTGCTGTAAGCTATTGATTGCTTTGTGAAGATTATTCATGCCGTCCTTCATTAGATCCAACTCATCCCTTGAAGATAATAGGATTGTCTCCAGTTTCTCTCTTGTTCCTGTTGCATTCATTAATTTATCTTCGATCTCGCTCAGTCGTGATTTCAACTCTCCCTTCTTAGCCTGTTCCTCTCTCAGCTCTTTCATTAATTGTTCTAATTGTGTTTGAGAGCTTTCCTTAAATCGTGTCATTTCATCTTTGATCCCGTCAGCTTCAATCTCCAGCGACACTTTCTCTCCATTCAACGAATTAATTTTATTGTTGAGCTGATGAACTATTTCTTTCTTAGCCTCCAGTTCGTCTCTGAGACTATTGAGGTCAGTCTCGTGAGTGTCGGCCAGTTCTTGATGTTTGTTTTTCCATTTATCAACGTCGCTCAAAATGGCCGACACTTGTCCCTCAAGCTCCTCCTTCTCTCTTGCTAATAATGAATTCTTGCTTTCTAGTTCCGCTATCACTTCATCCTGATGGGTGTGGCTTGAGTCTTCTTCAGACGACATTAAAGAGTTTTGTAATTCACTTAACAGACTAGGCATTTCTTTAGATGTGTGGGCGGTAAAAGGGGTGGAGCTTTGAATTTCGGTTGGAGACGTTGGAACGGAAGTTGTGACCATGTCGTCCGATACTGCTACTCTCTTTAATAAAGCTACACCCCTAGCCACACCTTCTCTGTTAGGTGTAATAAACGTGTCTTTCCTCAGTTTAGTTTCGAGTAAACTCTTGGCCTCTCTCTCTTCGTTCAGAGCCTCATAAACTTCCTTTGTCTGCTGCTCTAAGTCATCCTTTTCATGTACTATACTATCATAATGATCTTGTAGCGATGATAGCTCCATTTGTAACGAATTATTGGCTTCAGTGAGACTTTGAAGTTCTTCTTTGTACTGTGACAGCTGTAAGAGTTTTGGTCTTGCTCTATCCACTTCGTGTCTTAGGCTGTCTAGTTCTCCCTCCATAGTGATCTCTCTCTTCTTGTAGCCTCTCAGCTCTTCATTGACAGTACTGTAGTCCTTCTTTATTCTAAAGAGAATGATAAAAACCCTCTACATACACGTACATGTACAATGTACATTACTTTTCATTTTCATTGCTAAGTGCAGTATTTCCCTCCATGAGGTAGTCAAGTTGCGATGAAGTCTTCTTCAATTGTCTCTCCAGTCCTCTTCTCTCCTCCTCCAACTGCACAGTCTTCCTTGTCATTTCTTTCTCTCTCTCTTCCATCTCGACCAGGAGCGTTTCTCTCTGCCTCTCGAGATCTTTTATGCGCTTTTCGTAATCTCTCGATACTGATCTTATAGTCTGTGAATAAAAGGAGGAATATAATAAAGGAGGAATAGGACTATACTCACAGTAGCTGATTTCTCTAGTTCTTGTTTTGTTGTTTCGTAGAGCGATGTCAACTCTTCGTTTCTATACTGTAGTTGCTGCTTCTCCTCCAACAGTACTAACCCATATTCAGCTGCTTTGGCTCTCTCTTCATTTGCCTAAATACCAACAATTATGATAATAACATGAAAGTACTCTTTATTGATCATAATAACATTACTACTAATAATTAATCTAATGATAGTAATAATGAGAGAGAGGAAAATGAGGTTTAAAGATAATAATGATTATGGTAATGATTGTAATGAGAGAGAGGAAAGGAAGGTGTACAATACATACCTTCATAAAGTCGTTATTAATAATCTCCAGCTCATTCTTGAGTCTCTCAACCACTCCCTTGTCTTCTTGGCCTCCTATCACTTCCCTGCCATTGAGTACACTTGCTTCCATGACAACTAATGGGAACAATGACCCATTTATATAGAGCAAATGTAGTCACAATAATAATACAAGACTAATAAAAGTGGTTAGTCTAAACTGATAGTGTTGTTTGTGTGTATCTTAAAGCAAGCTGTTGCAATTAGTGGGTAATCTTGTTAAGGAAACACAAGTGGGATTTATAAGGTAATTATATGCCATACTCTCCTCCTTATGTCACATACATGCACGTATGTGCATAATCTTTATGCTACTCTATCTATAATCTCTCTCCTCTTTTGGTAATGTCCTAGTCCCCTCAGTCTTTCTGTGGTTAACTTTTACTATCAACACAGAAACCATTAAAGTTAAATACATTCAGTACACTACTCTTCCTCTAGCAACTATACATCTATGACATTATAACATTTAAGACTGTTATTATAGTATTGTCAGTTAATGGTCCATACTGCAATATTACTTATATCAACCATATACAATAACAGAGATAAGTGCTATTAGAATAATAAAATAGAAAACGTATTTAGTACTTACTCCACACTGGTGCCTTCAATAGTCCAAGAGGTAGCTTCAATAAATAAAAATAAATAAGTAGAGAAGGATAAGAGAGGAGAGAAGAGATGGAACAGAAGAGATGGAACAGAAGAGAATGGTCGTGACGCTTTTTGCCTAAAAATGCACTTCTAGCCACGCCCCTCGAGTTATTCGAAACCGCCTCCGCCATAACCCCCAAAAGGGTGGGGCTGGTCTGCAGCAAAGCGCAGATCCGCCCTTTAGCACAGCAACAACTTTTGAAGTCTTCTCTCTCTCTCTTCATTTATATAATGCCTGGTGGAAGCAGCAAGAAATTGGATCTTAATGAAGCCCTGGAAGATTCTCCACAAGTTAGTTGATCTAAATCTATTTGGTTTAACGTCTCTTCTGATAGACACAGGCACTAGCTGGTGCCATGGAGTCTTCCATTAGTTCACTGAGAGATTTTGTGTCCCAATTGAAAGACACTTGCCAAACACTTCACTCACAACAAGTGAGATAATGCAACTGTTATATCATTGTT